TAGATAGAGTAAAAGCCATCGTGTAATTGGGGTTCGTGGCGGCGAGCTTAACTGTACCGAAGTCCTAGGCCAGAGGTCAGACTGTACCTGCAAGTGACAGGACTACAAAGAGTGGCTATAATTGCGTTAAATTTGGTGTAAAATGAGGCAGAATCTTTGGGAAAATTCAGAAAAATTCTCTGCAAGATTCACGCATAATTAAGTGCACTCAAAAGGTGTCCGCACAACACACTTCTGCTGCGTGGCACCGGAAAAAATTACTCATGAATTTTTGGGAATTTAAATGTGTCCAATAAAAGCAAAAATTACTTTATTACATTCCTATATAAAAGTTCATACATTAATATTAGTTTTTACTTATAAATAAATATCTATTTAAAACTTTTAAAACTGTAATGCTAACAATTGAACTGCTAGAAATAATGGAGTCCGTAGGTAAAAAACATTTTTTTTTGCAACGTTTTCTCAATAATAATATAAATAAATAAAAATATTATACATTTAATTATTTTTTTATTTTACAATTTAAAAACATTTGATGAGTTTCAGTTTATAATTTTTGCAAGTGTATAAGAATTACAGGACTAGCAAACAACCAAAAGAATCGTACCAGAACAGGACAAGAGTTCACATTTACATAATGCTCTACTGCTGAAAGAGGATTTATGTGTGGCACTTGAGTGCCGCAAATTAATTCAAATGAAATGCGTCCAGAACTTAATCCTGACGTCCATTGTTGTCCTGGATGCCAGTCCACTCCCTTTCTGGGCGACTAATTTGGTGCAATTGCGACACCTAGGAATCGCATTCTCGTCTTTGATTTGCGCTAATCGCCAAAGTGTCAACGACCAGGAGAACTTGATGTTTGCCTCATTTCCGCATTTAATCACCCCCGGCAAAGGAATCGTCCTGGGTCCTTTTGTTCAATGGTTGTGAGAGACCCAGATCCCGAGATGACACAAATCAGAGCAAAACTAATTTCCCGTTAATGAGGGTCGCTTGCCCTGTTGCGTTGCTTCGCATTTTCCTCATTTTCTTGCGTCCATTTTTTGCCCTGATTAAGAATTTTTTCCCGCTCACACACATGCGCCTCATTAATAATTTTTTCGCCATTCGCTGCCAGGATCGAGATTAATTTACGCCTCGAAAGGATCTGACGTGTGCCTGTCAGTCGGAAATGTCTCTCTTTTTCGGCCCAGCGCCCTCTTTTATCTTCGTAATAATGTTAGGCTGTGGATGGGGAGGTCCTGATTCCGTATTCCTTATTGGGGAGAGGAGGAGCTGCTGAGGCGTCAAATTGTTATTAATTGAAAGTCAAAAGTTCTGCGTGCGGTGCCAGTTTTAATTGGATTGTTCGCTTATCTCTGCGAGAATTAATTGTTGAAAAACGAGCAACGGAATGAAATGAAATTTATTCAATAGAATGTGGTTAGTGATTTCCTTACAAATTTGAATTATATTTAATATACTAGTAGTAAATATGGTAACGGTAATATTTAAAAGTTGTTTTTTTTTTTAGTTTCCACAAATTTGATTTATATTTAATTTATTTAATATGATTTTATGGTCCATCAGGTTGCAAAAGCCCGTTTCCAATTACACGTTTTTATTACACATTATTTCACATTTTCATTGTTAATTTTATGTCGATGTTAAATTACTCGTTTTTGTTTTATTTGTTTCTGTACTTCCCACAATTGCTTCAACTATAACATCCCTTCCTTAGGCATTTCCAATGTCTCAGCTTTTTTTATAGTTACCTCATATTCATGCGTAAAGTTCTTTTGTCAATTGAGATTTCACTTTTTAGTGTTTTTTCCGCCTATCATTGGTATTCCTAATAAAAAATTCAGAGCCCATGAGGTCACCAAGTAATGACGCATTCTATTGTGGAGCCAGCACCTCCCCATCGTCATTCATATTCATATTTCTGAATGGAATGTTTGGCACTGTGTCCTATCTATCCTCACGCGATCTGATCTAAAGGATCTCATTGGGAGGCACTCGCCTGGAAGCTGACAACAATTGAATTGGTTTTATTGCCCCGGGAAAGTTATGCGCTGACAGGACTTCGGTTCAATGGATGGGCATAATGCCGGATTCAGGATACACACACACACACACACAATAAAAAATGCCTATATGCCAAACGAATTTCATTTCGTTTGTCCTGAAAAGGCACCCAAAAGCGCTGCCATTGTTGCTCTGTTTATTAAATTGTTGGTTCGAAAGGGGTGAGGGTCCACCTTTGTTAATCGTCAAGCTGACAATAAATCTTGGCCATGCCAGGGAATCCCAATTGCGTATGAGATGTAATTCCCGACTTGACATTTTTCATATACACTCAGATACTGACTCGCACATTTATTCGCGCCATAGACAAAGTTGCGGAATGAGGAGCAAGGGTTCGGATAAGATATTTCATAAATTGAATTGTTTTGCATTGTTGCCCCTCGACGAGTTCTGCTCTTATTTCGAATTGCTTGGCCAAACCAAATAAAAAAAACATCCAATATCTGCTCTCGAGCGCAGCCATGTGTGCCCATATACATATGTACTTGTGTATCTTTGTGATTTATAACGCGTTTAGAATGCCGTCTGAGCAGTGAAAATGGAATCAAAGCGACATCGAGTCTGGCAAACGGTCAGAATTTATGACGAACTGTATTCAACAAAGTAACCATAGACATTGTGACCTTTCAACAGAAAATATATTCCAATAATTCGGAGAAAAATTTAAATCGATCATATATTCTCCAGTAACAAATTTTAATTTAGATTAACAAGAAATAAGATTTATAGAATAATTTCACTTAGGAATATACAATATCATAGGCATTAGTTTTCTTAAGTTTTTTTTTGGTTTATATTGTATGATAGTTTGTTATGTTTTCAAAATATTAAAATACTGTATAACTTATTTTTGCATCTTTGAAATCTTTGATAACCAATTGGATACAAGAGTTCAGTGTATTTAAAATAGTAGCCTGACATCGTTAGCAAGTCTGGGAAGTAGAATAAAATTATACCTCACACATATTATGGCATTTTAAATATGATAAATTGTCGCCCAGAGCTCTCAAATGAAAATGTTGAGAAGAAAGTAAAACCACAGTTTATTTTTGGGGAGAATGGGTAAGAGGGCGGATAAGTCCAATCCCACTTTCAAATGCTTTTGACACGCGGATGGCCACCCGGTTAACGCTTTAAAAGGCGAATTGAATTTAAATTTGCTGATTATGCTCGAGTTGTGCGAATAATGGTTATATTGAGCCATAAAAGAAATTAACTCAAACATTATTCTTGGCTAAGCACTCGAGCCACCCCTCCTCGCCCATCTGTGTGTAATATATTTTAAAACAACTTTCACCACCTTTGAACTTGGGTGGGCAAATATTATTGATACATCGGCGGCTTCTCAATGGTTTGTAAACGATTTCTGGAGAGTTCTCTGGTACCAGAGGGGTTTTTTTTTTTAAGGGGAAAACCTAGCAGGGGGCCACATACTTATTCCTCTTATGCCCGAGCTACAACGCATATTACACTTTTTAGCAACAGATTCTCGAGTGCTGTTCGAGGGGCTTACGCATGATTTTCCGGGATTTGCTTTATGAAATTTCCAAATTTTACAATCTGCGCAACGGGCGGGCCGATGAGGAAATTACACCGCGATGAACAAGTCGCGTCTCCTTTTTATGTAATTTCAAAATGATTATTACTGCGAGGGGGTGGCCAAAGGAAAGGGAGACTGCGGAAATCAATGCATAAATTACAAAATACAGCCGGCAGACAAAAGCTGATCTTTATTGTTATTCAAATCATTTGGCAGCTGCCACGGCTCCATCGCCATCGTCATTTGAAGTTGGTTCTCTGAGGCGCCGCGCAACGATAATGATTGACTGACAGACAATCCACAGTTCTAATCTGTCAATAATTCAGACCATGTGCTCTGGCTTTTAGCGCTTTTGAGCCCGAGGCGTCGAGACCCGCGATTGGCATCCCAAGCTGTCGATTTCCCAGGCGAGTTGGCCTAATCCGATGGAGATGCCATGTAATTAGGACGCGGCTCCCGGGCGACATCGGAAGTGCCTTTAAAATTGAATCGGATGCGGTTTTAAAATCGCTGATTCTATGGAAGAAATAAACATGAATGAAAGAATATCATCTCTTAATATAAAAAATGCTTTTAACCACATAAGTAACAATCGAATTTGTAAAACTTTGTATTTAATTAAAGTTTTGAGTTTAAACTCACCTGGTCGAAATCCTACAACATACTTGCATGTCTAGATTTTTGAGTATAGAACAGAATAAAATAGAAACATTGTTAAAATGATTTATTAAAATTTATCAGTTTGATACAATACAAAAATTGTTAAAATATTTTATTTAAGTTTATCAATTTTATGTAATTGAATTTAAATATCTTATGAGTTTTTTTTTTACCCACCATCACAAAGCTCATTAATTTAGAATCACACTCATGTGATGCCAGAGAGAATATTCCAATTTCATTACCCCCACTATTTTTGTTTTCCTTTCGCGAAACTTGTGTAGTCATTTCCACAAGGAGCTCCGATAATTTAATGTAAACTTTGCGGTCACGTGGCGCGACCTGCGCTCATGTAAGTAAATCAAAGCAAATTACCAGCCGAACACACAAAATACAAAACACAACATGCAACACACAACACACAAAACACATGAGCCAAGGGCAACTCTCACCCATTTCAACTCTAACCCAAAACTCCGCCCCGTAAAAGGTTCACAAGTGTTTTGACATTTAAACGCGTTTTGTGCCCGAAATGACCACCAACAAGAGGTGGACCCGGAGCACAAGGTTGATGGCCCAAGGGAGCCCTTACACTTGTGCCCTGATCCTGAGTATCTGCGGGAAAACTGTGGGAAAACAGGGCCAGCCCAGCCACCCTGGGAAAGTGTACTCAAACTCGCGGCAGCCATAAAAAACCCATAGACATAGACACATATGCACATGTAAATTACGGGGATGTAAGCTAGTTTATTTCTATGTGATTGCAAATAAATAAGTGTTTATAATTAAGCAGGTTATCCTGGGAGAATCCTTTGATGGACATAAAATTCTCATCCTCTGGCGGTGGCTGCCACATTGGCGGCTTGTTGCGCAATTCCCAGACCCTGAATGGTAGCATCGCGAGTATGTTGGCCAATGCGTTCCTATAAAGATAAATAGTGGGTTAGTTTTAATCAAAATATCTTACATTCCTTATATTTTGTCACATGGAATTTTTTTTTATTATTTTAAATTTGTTTGGGGCAATACTTACAATTCTCTTGCCCAGTTTCTTTAGCCAACCGGCTTCGGATTGTCCAAAGCTAATGGCCAGAATGAGGGCGACAAAGATGAAGATCTTGTAGAAGTTCATTATGATTTGTTGAATTTAATTTGCAATTAATTGAAGAAAATCGAAAAAGCTGTTGATAGAGCTGTTGCTGTGGTAACTGAGCGACTGATGTCTGAACTTTAGGTTTAGCCAGCTTTTATAGCGAAGACAGCGATGCTGATAAGCTGAGGACGGGGAATTTTTCGCTACGAAAAGAGAAAGAGCCGCAAATACGCGCCTACAGTGGATCCCCTTTTTTATACGAGGAAGACTGTCTTCGGTTATCTGTTTGTCCAGCTGCTAATAAAGATTGAGCTTTCTCAGACTATTAGACTTCCTTCTAGTATCCCTATTACAAATATTTTAGAAACCAAAGTAAAGTAAACTCATTGTTTCCACATTTTTACAATTAGGCCATTTGTAACATTACAATCTTAGAAGTTTAAATATTTAAAAAAAACATTTTTTTGCTTATTCAATTTTTGTTTGCCATATATTATTTATATATGAAGTTTATATATGAAGCTTACTAATCTTAATTTAGAAACCATAAACACACTCACGCAACTGTACTTGATTTTTAAGAGGGGGATGGCCGTGGATTTAGGCTTTCACTCTCGTCGGCACATAATATCAACCACCATGAAAATGTAACTTTAATTTCAACCATAAAAAACCAACAACGAGGGGCAGACAATAGACTGGCAGCAAAGACAACAAATGAATTAAATCAGCAAGGGCGGCAGAAACACACACAGAATCAGAATCAGGGGTGGGGATATATCTGCAGATATATATATTTCGGGGTGGAGAGGTGACTAAGAATAGAGCATCTAGAATAGGAAGCTACGAGGATGATGGGCGCCTTGTCAGGATATGCCACTAATTTCCTTAACAAGTAAAAACGCTTTATCCATCTTGGGCCTTGACTCCGCTTCCCTTTGCCGCTCCATGTTGCTCCTTTCCGGTTCCATAGCCTTTGCGAAATGTAAATAAAATCGCTCGAATTAACCGCTGAGTGACAGCTACAAGTGGCAGGCGGAGACACAAAAGGAGGGAGCGAGTCCTGTGTCATAACCGCCAGGACGAGTTCGCATCCTCATCCTTATCCTTCAGTTGGAAGAACCCACAGCAGCGTAAGTAAGTCAGTAAATGCCGCAACTGGTTCCGAAGCATGGCTCAACTACTCAGACTGCAGGAAGGTATTCAGATGACTTAAATGATATTAAGGTAAGTTAAAAAGGAAGTGAGTTTCTATTGGATCTGGGTTGGCATTTGAAGTGGCAGATGCGAGCAAGAAGTATAAGACTTGAAGATAGTTTATAAGAACTTCGGTAATTTGTTGTTTAAATTAAATGTAGTGAATCTATAATTCATATAAAAATTCTGATTAGATTACAACACAAATAATGACTATAGAAAACCTCAGATGCCCATTCATATTTACAACTTCTATATTATGTTTAACTTTTGTGCCTTTGAATTACCCCATACCAGGAGACAATCAGACTAACCGAAATGACTAAGGCAGCTCTTCAATGACCTTTTTAAGAGGCATCCCCGAAATCTAAATTCCCATTTCAGTGCGCCAAGATTATCAGTCCACCTGGATACAATGGCTGTGTAAATGTTTGAGAATCTTGGCCTTGCCTCTTTGATAGGGAAATAATCAGCAGATGCCGTCGGGGGAACTTTTTTCCTGGGATTCACCCTGAGAAAGACAGCGAAACCGAAATTAATAAACAAGAGGCGCTGATAAGGAAAGCCGCAATAAAGAACAACGACAAAATAGCCAGAAGAAAGGGAAGAAATCAGCTACACAGGTGTGCCCCTTACCCTCGATCTTGATCGATCACTTGAATCATACTAAAAACACGTCACCAGCAATCGCATCTACTTGGGTGTGGGATCCCATTGAACTCTGAATTCCGTGTGCTTTTTGGGGGGAACAGAAATCACCCGCGAGCAATTCCATTCATAAAACTCATTCGTAGTAAAAACTTTGTTACCCATTACTGAACTTGGGGTATACTTTATTACAATTCGCCTGAAAATATCATAAAGAAAAGGCTTTAAAGTTAAGTTAATAACGCAAAGATCAGACAAGGGACTTTACTTGGAGGAAACGTTCTTCTAATAGTCATCCGATATCATAAAGTTTCCAGCATCTGTTGACTAAGATTTCTCTAAGTCATTAATTAAGACTAGTTCGAGGTATCGCGTATGTGTCAGTAGATCGTTCCAACTCAATTCTACGATCGTTCAATCCATTGAGTAATCGTTTGTTGTTTTGCTCTTTTTTTTTTTTTTAGTTCTGTTCTGGGGAAGCCAATAAAACGTGTTTGTTGATTAGTCCATTTCGCATGGCGCACAAATGTTTGGCGTTATTTCCCGTACTTTTTCTGCCCCAAAAGTTTTTTGTTTTTATTCAAAGTGTTTGTTACCACAACTAATGGAATTTATTATGTTTTATTAATGTGGGTTGCGGTAAAGACCGTTTGAAAACAATGTTGATTCAGGGGATTTTTCATGTTCAGGAAATAGTTTAGTTTCTACAGTTGCTATGCTGAAAGATTAAAGAAATTTTGCATTAGGCAATGAACATTTTGTCATAAAAATGATTAGCATCTGTAAAATTTTAAATTTTCTTAACTTGATAAGTTTTAAGAGAATTTTAATGGTGAAATTCTTCATGTATATTTACATTTTTTAATGTGGGCCAATGCGTTCCTATGGAAATATCAATACTTGTTTATGTATTCAGATTTTCCATTTTAATGCATAGTTTTTTAAGTTTATTAAGCCAACCAGCTTTTCATTTACCCAAACTAAGATAACTATAACGATAACAATGTAAAAATTCATTCAAGTTTTCTGGTTTACTCCTGATTTTTTAAATAGTGCAAGTTATTGACCCTGCTGATATGTCTATTTCAGTGAGCGACTGATAACCGGACTCTAAAGATAGCGAAACAACCAGGACAGCAACTAAAGCGATGCTGATAAGGTGACGAAGGGGATTTTGTGTTGGAAACAGATGCATGAAGAGTAACAAAAATTGGAGACTTGTCTTTGGGCAATCATCAAATGGGGATCTACACTGCCTTTTTCTTTAAATTCAGCACTTAATTTCCCTCGAAATACAAAGCAATAAATAACTCATTAAATAGTCTAGAATCTAAAAAACAAAAAATCAATTTAAAAAATAATATATGGGGTTAATTTATAAGTAAGAATAGATGTTTGGTTACATTTTTTTTATTAGGTATAGACCATTTTTTAAAGTTGTTGTTTCCAATATTTATTAATATTACAAAAATGCATTAATTTAATTCAATCTGTAAGTCATGAGCGTTGCAAACTAATTCATAATCGGTTGCTTGGATGAGTAAAGCCCACTAATTTTGAAATACCTCTTCAGAGAGTCATATTTATGGCAGTTCCAATCTGAACCCATATTGTGTGAACTTTTGTCCCAGTAGAAAAATCCCCGTCTTTGCAGCATCAGCTTCTGTTGGGATCGCTATATAAGCTCAATCTCTTAGTCGTTCAGTCATCAGTCGCTCAGTTCTCACTGCATAAGCATCATCTTTCTTTTGTTCTGCCAACAAATCAGCAATCTCATCATGAACTTCAACAAGATCTTCGTCTTCGTGGCCCTTATCCTGGCCATCACTTTGGGACATTCGGAGGCTGGCTGGCTAAAGAAGCTGGGAAAGAGACTCGTACGAATTTCTAATCATAATTCACACTTGAGTTATTAATTTAGACAATCTTGTAGGAACGCATTGGCCAGCACACACGAGATGCCACCATTCAGGTTGTCGGAATCGCTCAGCAAGCCGCCAATGTAGCAGCCACCGCTCGAGGTTGAGAACAAATCTTGATAACACTCAACCTGCTACATACCTGCCTGATAACATAATATATTTAATTTCATTAACACTACCTTTAAAAATTAAAATAATCAAACATGTATTTTGAAGTAAACAATTTATTTGTAAAACATCGAATATTACTTAAATATAAATAAATGCCAAACTAAAAAAAACAATTACACAGCTTTTAAAATACAGAATAAATAGCGTTAATGATTTAATCTTCTAATCAGCAAGTTTTGGGAATTAATTGAGTGCTTATCGCAATGAACGCTCCCGACGAAAATCTACAAATAACACATACAAATCTGGGAAATTCTAAGTAAATGTTTTTGTTGATTAGCATAATTTAATTTATTAAACGTTTGTTTTTAGTAATATTTTATTAATGCAAATACTTTTATTATAGTTGATTGAAGCGGGATCTTGTAATCCTAATTTAATCTTAATCCTAATTTAATTATATATATAGTATATATAGAATTCCGAACACATTAAAATACCCTGATAATGCTATTTCTTCAGTTAATGGCTGATGTATCAGAGGAGAACATTAGAGCTCTAAAATTGTGCTAAAAGTGATATTATTTTGAAGGATATAGAATTCCGAACATAGTAAAATACCCTGATAATGTTATTTATTCAGTTAATGGCTGATGTATCAGAGGAAAAATTGTGCTAAAGGTGTTATTTTTATAAATTGTATCCACTTTTAAAATTATTAAAACACCTATTATTTGATTGAAAATAAGCCTTCTTATTTTTACTAAAGAATATTATGTTTTATTTGCTAAATGCTAATAAATTACATTTAAATACATAAATAGGTTTTTGGTTTAATAAAGTGAAGAGGTTCCAATTTTATCCTCTGGCTGTTGCTGCCACATTGGCGGCTTGTTGAGCGATTCCCAGACCCTGGATTGTGGCATCTCGGGTGTGCTGGCCAACTCGTTCCTGTAAAAAAGGGTCAGGATAAGCAACAACTAAATATATTTGAGTATTTAGGACTTACGAGTTTCTTGCCAATCTTTTTTAGCCAGCCAGCCTCCGATTGTCCCATGCTGATGGCCAGGATGAGGGCGACGAAAACGAAGATCTTGTAGAAGTTCATGGTGAGATTGGTTGATTTCAAGCTGATGCTTCTGATGTTGCTATTGCAGTGAGATCTGAGTGACTGGTGATTGCACTAGGAATGGCGAGAGTTTTTATAGGCACCCCATCAGCTATGATGGCGTTTCCTGATAAGGCATGAAGGGGGATTTTTATTACGGAAAAAAAGCACACGAGAGGAATCCAAACCAATCGCAATCACTCATTTCAACTGAGTCTGCATCGAAACCAGATTCGGGGGTTTCATACTTTTGATCGACATTGGTTAGCCCGAATAGGGATTCACCTTGGCTTTGGGGTGTACCGCAATTTTCAGCGATGCAAAAAAAGAAAGCCATAGAAATCCATTATCCAATGAAGGAGCTGATACATTAGGGAAAAAAACGGATCGGACCGAAATACACAGAAATATGGCCAAAAAAAAGTAATTTTAAACAGCATCTTCAAAATTAATGCCTGAGCATTTAAGCTCCAAGTGTTTTTGGGACAACTCCAAATAATTTATGTATTATGTATTATTATTATGTATTATAATTATGTTTGCGCCAATTTAAAGTGTCGTTTTTACATTTTTACTTCGCATAATGACATTTTAATAACTTCTAGTTCATATTTTTGAGTAAACTGTCCTCCCGTGGAAAGAGAATCTTGTAGAGTTATCAGTCACTCTATACGGAAAAGAAATGCAAGGAAAGTTTTAGCGATCAGACAAGCCCACAGATAAAGCACAATCGTAATATTTCCAAATTAAAATTAGATAAGCGAAGTCAGCAAAATTTGTATTTATTTCGGGAACAGCTTAGCGGCATTGAAAGTGTTTTTGTTCTCCCAATTTAATATATAAAATTATTTAATTAATTTGGTAAAGGAAAAACAATGATAATATTTTTTTCTGTTTTTTATTTTCTTAAGACCATAGAATAAATACGATTTTGTATAAATAGTTAAATATAGTTAATCAGCATCATCAACCCCTGGCTGTTGCTGCGACATTGGCGGCTTGTTGGGCGATTCCCAGACCCTGGATTGTGGCATCTCGAGTGTGTTGGCCAACGCGTTCCTGTAAAGAGGGATCAGGTGAAGCCTCTACTAAAAATATTTGGTGATCTAGAACTTACGAGTTTCTTGCCAATCTTTTTCAGCCATCCAGCTTCCGATTGTCCCATGCTGATTGCCAGAATGAGGGCGACGAAAACGAAGATCTTGTAAAAGTTCATGGTGTTGTCTTGGACTGTTCCTGGATTGAAAAAGTTAAGCTGTTGATATTGCGGCTGTAGTGAGCTCTGAACGACTGATGGTTGTGATCGAAAAGGCAAGAGCTTTTATAAGCGAACGGACAGCTTGAAATACAATGACAGATAAGCCATTCACGGGGATTTTTCATGCATACACTAGAGCAAGCCAATTTAAGCCAGAAATACAGAAAACTAGATCGACTGACGTTATCATTACATTAAATTAAATTGATTCATCGGCTTGAAACTGATTTTAAATATAATAAATTTAATAAGCGGTTTTGGCAATATACACTTACTAAGCATAAAAATCTTCGAAGTGGGCATCCTCGTTTTGAAGGTCCGATTTTCATGATTTCATGTTGATTTTTTGGGTTACCAAGTTAAAAGTAGCACTTGCTCTTTATTTATATATTTATTTTCAACATCTAAACTGGTAAGATATATATTAATTTAATAACCTTTTTATAAGTTTCAAATCAATTGCAAAACTTATCAAAATAAAGAGAGGAGAGGATTAGTAAAAAAAAATAAATCGTCAATTTAAATATGAAATAAATATTTTTTTATTTACATAGAACCATACAATTTTATAATAATAATAATAATAATAAACAATAAAATAATATAATAATTTTATTTACATAGAACAATACAACTCGATAATAATAAACAAGGTATTTTGCAAATGGTTTTTAGTTTGGGGCGTAGTAGCTTATTCATCCTCTGGCAGTAGCTGCGACATTAGCAGCTTGTTGAGCGACTCCCAGACCTTTAATGGTGGCTTCCCGAGTGCGCTGGCCAACGCGTTCCTACATATATAGTGATGGGTTAGCTTGAGAATAAAATAACTGGAAAAGGAGGACTCACAATTTTCTTTCCAACTTTCTGTAGCCAGCCAGCTTCAGACTGTCCAAAACTGATGGCCAGGATGAAAGCGACAAAAACGAAGATCTTGTAGAAGTTCATGGCGAGATTACTAGAGTTTTTTCTCTGATGGAAGAAGGGCGAAATAGGTGATGCTGCTAAGAGAACTCAGCGGCTGATACTTTGCTGGGAAAGTCGTACGCTTTTATAGGCGAACGCGTTGTCAAGGTTAGGAGGGGTTTTTGTTATGCGAATAAGTAGACAAGCCAAATAAAATAAGATTGTGGGAGGTATGTCCATGCATTAAAAGAAGGATGGAATGCCAAAAAGTGATTAGGGGAAATCACGAAATCTGTCAATTGTTTAAAATCCCTTTGGTTATTACACTTCAATTTTAGTCATGAAATAGTTTTTAGTATTTAGAAACCTAAATGTTAATTTTAAAGCAATAATATATTTGTCAGTTATTTATTTGAAAATTATTTTCAAGTTGTACATTTATCTAATGTCGCAAAAATCTAATAACTTATATTACAATGTTTATTTATTGTTAAGGGGAATCACATCTATATTTTATAATATACAAAAAATTTCTCGCCAGAAAGTGCTTATAAATGAAAACTTTTCTCTGAGCACGTACGAACTACAATATTAATATTTCATTTTACTGAAAGTTCGCGAGATGCATCGCCAAACTGCATCAACTTCCCATGGAAGCTATATAATATAGTCGTCCGATTTCGATGAAATTTAAACCGTAATTCTGAAATATTTAACTATAACTATATGTCGAAGAATTAAAAAAAAATTAAAAAACAGTAAAGTTTTAATTTTTTAAATTTATTCTTCCGATTGTTGATTTGGGAGCTATATGCTATAGTCGTCCGATCCGGCTCGTTCCGACTTATGTACTACCTGCAATAGAAAGACAACTTTTGGCAAAGTTTCATGCAGATAGCTTTAAAACTGAGACTAGTTTGCGTAGAAACGGACGGACTCTCCTAGTCATGCTGATCAAGAATATATATACTTTGTAGGGTTGGAAATGTCTCCTTCACTGCGTTGCAAACTTCTCACTGAAATTATAATACCCTCTTGAAGAGGTCTAAATATATCCAATCAAATATCGAAACTGACAGCAACAGATTTTGATTAAGCAAAATCAGGAAATCAATGCAAAGTTTAAAGTTTGAATGAAATGGAACCATTTATTTTCTTTCTACAATACATGTATTAAAAAGTACAACATAATTCAGCAGAGTTTGGTCCTCATAAGGGTATGATGCACCTGGTTGCGTTTTTAAATGTTCCCAATCCCGAGTCTGCAATGTCCTTAACTTTGTCTGTTTCAATGAAATGGAACCATTTATTTTCTTTCTACAATACATGTATTAAAAAGTACAACATAATTCAGCAGAGTTTGGTCCTCATAAGGGTATGATGCACCTGGTTGCGTTTTTAAATGTTCCCAATCCCGAGTCTGCAACTTCCTTAACTTTGTCTGCCTGTGAAAACAGTAAAATGTTAACTTTAAATTGAAATATTTTGGAATGGCAAAACATACCACCGTTTGAACTAGGTCGATTACTAAAGCCTCTGACTGTGCCATGCTGATGATCAGGATAAAGGCGACGCAAAAAAAGAACGAAACGAAGTTCATAGTTTGTTTCCTTTGAAAGTCAGTTGTTCCGTCAAAGAGATAACTGTGTTACTGACGACTTCAGACTAGTCGACGGTTTTTATAGGCAAACAGCAAACTTAAAAACAAATAAAATTCCAGGAACGTTTAATTCATAGGCACATTTTCAATAGCAACAAAGAAAGCAAAACTGATTAAGAAGCACGTACGAACAAACTAAATTGATTTCATTTTTTGAGTCTCGACTTGAGGGATAACATTAGCGCCCTCTATGGGATATATAACGCAACATCAGCGTCGACACCAGCTTTCATAGCATGGACACAAACCGTGACTCATTGCCGCCTATTGCAAGTTATCGATAAATTTGTATGTAAGTAATATTACTTTTTTAGAATGTTATTATTATTTTATTATTATATATATAGTAATGGAAGTTTAAAGATAAATCCAAAATAAAGTTTGGCTTAAATAACTTTCAGTTTTTGTTAAAGCCAATAATTTTATTTCTTTCTGTATACACGGATGGCAGATATTTAGTATTTCTGTAGCGTTAATGTGATTATTAACAAAACGCTTCCCGTTATGGTATATTTAAAATAAATGCAATAGGCTGAATATAAAATAAACGAGATAAATAAAAACGATTAAAAAAATGATACGGAATAATTTCCATTTCACATCAACTCCGGCATCCAATCCATTACTTTTTGTAGTAACTTTTTTATTTATAGTACCAAAATTTGATTATTTATTATATCATATTTTAAGTCAGTTTCAATTTCAGTCACTTGCAGAATTCCTTTTAACAGGGTTATCTGTATAATAATGTTTATAATGTTTCACTTTTACTTAAAATTTGAATAATCTTTTTTGGAAGAAAACCTCTTAACTTATAGGAATATTCCTAATTTTTATTTGGCACTGATAATCTCTCGAAGTTATCGATGTATTCAACAAATAATAGCACAAATTTAGCTACTTAACCTATGTAAAAATGAATAAAATAAAAATAGTTATTTTCAGTATTATAATTGAGTGTGACCGTGGCCTTTTTACTACACAATCTCAAGGAATGCTAGTTAGTTGTTTTATCATGAGCTTCAACTCACGCAAGCAGCAATACAGTGTCATAACACTATCAAGATTTTGACAGCTGTATTTTTCTGTTTTCCCACAAACGGTCTCACCGGCGTGCCCCGACTTCCTTTCCTGTCAAAAAGTCGACCAAGGTGGTACTTTTTTTCCATCGGGGCCGAAATTGGCCGAAATCCGCGTCGACCACAACGCAGTTCATCGAAATAATAACACAACGAGCCAGCGCAACAACGGCATGCTAAAGTTTTCAATGGAAATCAGTAAAATGCTGGCCAAGTGCGGCCGATGGCCGGCGATTTGTGATTGTACTGCGTTGTGAGGAAGCGGTTTTCACCCCCCCCATTTTGTGAATATTACTAACTGAAACGGCAACTGAACATTGCAGATGGCTATCGGCTCCAAGATTATCAAGCCCGGCGGCGCGGACCCCGATGATTTCGAGAAGTCCATTTCCCAGGCGCTGGTGGAACTCGAGGCCAACAGCGACCTGAAGCCCTACCTGCGGGATCTGCACATCACCCGTGCCCGCGAGATCGAGTTCGGCAGCAAGAAGGTATGCAGTGTGTGTATAAGTGCCCATCGGATGACGTATAACCCCTCTGTCCCTCCCCCCCAGGCCGTCATCATCTACGTGCCCATTCCACAGCAGAAGGTGTTCCAGAAGATCCAGATCATCCTGGTCCGTGAGTTGGAGAAGAAGTTCTCCGGCAAGCACGTTGTCGTCATTGGTGAACGCAAGATTCTGCCCAAGCCCACGCGCAAGGCCCGCAATCCCTTGAAGCAGAAGCGTCCCCGCTCGAGGACTCTGACCGCTGTGTACGATGCCATCCTGGAGGATCTGGTCTTCCCCGCCGAGATCGTGGGCAAGCGCATCCGCGTCAAGCTGGACGGCTCCCAGTTGGTTAAGGTGCACCTGGACAAGAACCAGCAGACCACCATCGAACACAAAGTGAGCTCAATACACCCCCTCCATAAGAAGTGTGCATTGTGTGTTTTCAACCGTACGTCCCCTCGATATTTGGGACTCCCTTATCATGGAGCCTAATCTTCGTCAGGGGACGCAGAGCAGACAGCCAATTACTCGTTATTGTAGGCATTATCAGCCCATGCGGTCCTGCATCTCCAAATATTGGCCACACTTTGGTCAGAAACTCCGTTCTCGTGTTATTTGCTAGTTGTTATACCCAAAACTAGCGATTGTCAAACAGAACGAAAAGTAAAGTCACCTAATCACTCCATAATGTTGAGCCGACTTTCCAGGGCTTCTGCATTACTAAATGTGTGCCACATTCTCATATCTGTACTTCAGTATTTAAACCTCAATTTGTGAATGAAACTAGTAGCCGGTAAATTACAGAGACATTTTAATTTGTAGGAGATTATAATTATGCAGACTTTTTGTTAAGGTTTTACAGGAACAACTGTACATAGATTTCTCTGCCGTTATTGTATTACTTGCTGGAAGTTTTATCAAAAGCCAGTGCTTAATAAACATAACGTAGACTATAAACCAGGCAGCTAATCACTCCATAATGTTTATCCTAATTTACCCAGGGATTCTGCATTACTAAATGCTTGCTACATTCAAACCATTTTTAAATATTATTGATCAAAGAATGTTCTTGAGAAAGTCGAATTTTTAAATTATTTTTATTACCGTTTTTGTGTTATTCGCTGTTTGTTTTATTCAAAATCAGTGATTGTCTAACAGAACGTAAATTAGATTCCAGGCAGCTAATCACTCCATAATGTTTATCCTAATTTATCCAGGGATTCTGCATTACTAAACGCGTGCTACATGCAGATATCTAAACTTTACCGAGCTCTCCTTCCGTTCTCGTGTTATTTACTGGACTTTACCATAGTCCAGCGATTGTCAAAGAGAACGCATATTAAAGCAACTAATCACTCCATAATGATGGGTCCAATATAACCAGGGCCTCCTCATTACTAAATGTTTGCTACATCTTAAAATCTTTTGATACAGTGGATTTTAGCACCGTTCTTGTGTTATTTGCTAAGCGATTTCTCCAGCTTAGTGATTGTCAAACAGAACGCATATTAAAGTCAGCTAATCACTCCATAATGTTGAGCCGACTTTCCTGGGCTACAGCATTACTAAATGCGCGCCACATTTTTATTGCAACTTATTATATATTATTGAATATCTGGATTTTAGTACCGTTCTTGTGTTATTCGCTAGACGCTTTTCATAGTCCAGCGATTGTCAAACAGAACGCAAACTGAAATGCAACTAATCACTCCATAATGGTGCGTCTAAATCAGCCAGGACTACATCATTACTAAATGTTTGCAACACCTTTTAACTATATTTTCATTATTACTTGAGAACACACAATGCACTTTAAATACCGCCTATTTGCCTCCCAAGCACTGTTTAGTTGCCTGGTGCCTTGGGACTTCCTATATAAGCGGAAGAATAATCCAGCTTTCCGTACGCCATCTTCTCTGCAGTTTTTTCTGCTGCAGAGGAGGTCACGGCCGCTGTACACTTGTTAATAAAGTCTTTAAGTTTCTGTGACTAATATATGTTTTTTTGTTTTCCCTCAGGTTGATACCTTCACCTCGGTCTACAAGAAGCTGACTGGTCGCGACGTTACCTTCGAATTCCCCGACAACTACCTGAATGTCTAGAGCGGGTTCTCGTTAGAATGTCGCACTGGTTCGCCGGTTCATCTGGGAAAGTCACCGCGCTTCTGTCGTGCAGAAGATGAGTTTTTTACATGAGCTAGAGGACGTGAATAAACATTAAACAATTTAAAACTAAGCACCTTCCAATTAAGCCAACTTCCCGTTGTCCTTCAATTAATCAGCGCTAAAGGGGGACTTTACATGTGCTGGATTTGTAATCCTATGGTGCGCAGTTATCCTGCTGGGAGATGTCGCACATTTTGATTGAGGGCAGCCATAAAAGGAGTAATTAAATGGATGTCTGAAGCTCTGTTATTTCTTTGATGTCATGCTGTTTTATCAGCTCTTAAATTAAAATGTGTGTGTTCAAATTGTAACCCTCCTTACAAGGCACATGTGCGATGTAATTATAGGTATTTCCAAATTTGGTTACACTACACGCATTACGCTTTCGAATCATCACATATGTATGTGATTGGCGGGTGGTAAAGGAAAAGAGTTTGAAAGAGTGGGTTCGGAACTGATTAATTTCTATAGGCAAGAAAGCTTTCAAAAGTCCATTTAATAGATTCACGAAACAACCTGTGAAAAGCTTTCACGACCACATTTAAGATTTTCCGTTAGCTGTGCTAATAATAAGTAATAACTTTATACTAATATTATACTTAAGAATCATTTTCATAATCAAGTTTGACAAAAAGTTGTATGTTACAGCGGTGTCCGCTAAGGAAACGATCAAATTGGTTGATCTATTATTTTAACTAAGACAGTTTTTTGTCACATTTTTTGCTGGTAAAGGAAAAATTAGGAAATCTAAAGACTATTATTTAAATCATGATAACAGTGAATATTAAAAAGGGGTCAAATAGTATTTTAGTAAATTGCTCCTTTATGGGCACATTATTCCTGTATATATTTTTTGTTATCAGAAAATCAGTAACGCCATTGTTTCGAGCAGAATCAGACTAATCAAGTTCTTTTCAGACCTTTGCTGAACTACAATGGCTTTGGTTTATTTATGACATTAGTGCATTCCTGCCCATTTAAGCTGTCCTAGTCGATTGATTGCACTTTTTAAATTCAATTAAAAGCAACCATGAAATCACGCAATTCAACAATTCCGAAATGTTAAACGAGAACCAAAGGCAAACAAAGCGTAGTACAAACCCCTGAACACAGTATTGGGGGTTAAAGTAAGAGGACTGACAGGACATGAACACAAAATCGTACACGAAGCGGCTTTAATTTCAGGAGTAGGGAAAAAAGTTTTGGCCACAACAAAAGTTCGAATAGAACTTTCGATTTCCGACACATTGTTGATGTTGTGTTTGTGTTTTTCTTTTTTGGTTGTTGCGTCTGAGGAATTCCCGGTGGGTGGTGGTGCTACAAGGAGGCGTGACCCGTTGGCGAGACAGGTGGTGCGATGACAAGTTGGTGGGATTTTTAGGGAAAGTGTCTGGACGGCTATCGGCGATTCTATCTAAATGACCCCGCCGGGTCATTTATTATTGATGGTGCCTAATTGTGCGCCATTCTAGACGAACGGTTATCATTAGGGGTGGTATGCCTGCAAATGGTGTGGGAGTCCGTTGGCCTTGGACCGCTAATGCGTAGTGCCGTCTTGTGCAACTCCATTCCATGATCTAATTAAAACGCCGCCCACAAACTGACAAGTGGATTGAGGGCACTTTGAATGTAGATTTTATTTGACATGTTCTTGGCGGAAAATGTTTATGACAATCGCAGTTCGGTTCCCACCATATCCTGGACGGAGTGGGACGCAGGGATTGGGAATGCGAGACCCCCACCCAGGACTTGGCTGTCCTTTTGACAAATTATTATGTCATCTCCAGCCGCTGACGATGGCGACGGCTTTCTGAGTCACGCCGCGATTTGATATAACCGAGAATCACAATCTGCAATGAATGCGTGTTTATAAAGCGCTTATATTATCAGTTTGTGACCAATCCGCATTTGTTTTAATAGTACATCGTAATGTTTTTGCAAAGATTATCCATTTCAAGGCTATAATTTGTTGCTATTGAATTAAAACTATTTTTCTAGTAATTAAAAAAATTAAGAAATAAACTTGGCTATTCAAAGTTTTGGGTGGAAATTGGTGTTAATAAATTCTTATGTACTATAAACTATTAAATGCTTATAAGCTAAATGAAATTATTACCACCAGCATGGTTAAGTACCCCGTATCCATATCAACTTTTAAAGTAAGTGGAAGCGTTATCGCATGCACAGAAAAAAATTTATTACTAAAAACGGTACAATTTTATTATATACCTTGAAATTGATAAACACGTTGATTGCTGGAATTTATAAAAAAACGTATTATTATCATTAGAAAAGATTTTTTAATATAGAACATTTCGTTTCCCAGTACAGAAGATAAGTCTGCTGTTAGTTTATCAGTTTATCAGCTTATCGGCTAATCAGCCATAACTTCGACACTCTACAGTGCACCTTTAATATTTATTTAGAGGGGATTCGAAGGGGGGATCTACATCCACTATGCGTCGAACCAAGCAATCAGCACGAGACTGTTCCGGGCGGTTAAAGTTGCCGTTCCACGATGACTGCCATGGGCTAGACACTGGCTGATAAGCCCCCGATAAACCAGGTGTGTGGTAAGTATACCAACTAGCAAGCTCCCTGTGTGTGCTCGTTTGATGATCGCATAAGTATTGCCCAGAATTTCTTGCCTCGCTGAGTTTTCTATATTTATCCAGAGCTAATGTTACATCATGCCTGGCACTACAGTGATTTTCCGAAAGCAAACAATAAATTATGAATATTACTGGAGGGGCGATGGATTTCATTGTCAGGAAAAGAAAGCGGGAGCTATTTGAATTTGAAAGTCTAATTTTTTTAGGCTAATGGTTTAAGTAATGTTTAAGTAGTAATGTATTTAAGTCCATAGCAGATAACGACTAAAATTCGGTTTCCGGCTTAAGAATTTAGAATCGTACTCCAAAAGAGTTTATTTGCAGCATGATATCAGTTTTAATTCTCTCTCTACCTCGCTCCTTCATTATTGTTATCTGTAGTAAAAACATGAAAATTTCCCCCACCAACGCAAACTGTATAAAAAACAGAAAATGAAAAATTAATGATGCTATTGGCAACAAACAAATAGAGAATAAAAAGTTTTGTCCCAAGCATTTTCGATCTTATTTTCTGTTCTCTGGGAAAGTGGACTTGTAGGAAAAGTAAGCAACTGGGAACTTGGCCGATATTTACAGCTCTGGGATCTCACGCGATGACGAAATGCCGAACGCGCAGCCCACTACTCGTATACGTTTTGTAAGATACCTACTCGCATTAAGTATACAACCCGTTGCCGGCTTCGTTTGCGCGACTGTTGCTGCTCTGCCAATGTCGGCGCCGGCTTCTACGCTGATGTCAACGTCAATAGCTCTGCCAACGTTGACACCTACTCATTGTGGAATACTCTACAAATATGGGTTAACTATGATTGGTACTTGAAGAAAGCCCAAATGTATGTATGCCCCTACAAATGTATGAATAATTTATTGTGGAAGGCAAATGGTCTGAAGAGAGTTTGTATTCTCTATTTATAAGTTTCCATAATTGTTAAATAACTATAAATAAATTTGAAATCCCTTATATGTATCAGTTTTCAGTTCTATTAAAACTTAAAGTTTTCCAATAATTGTGTATTTGTCACTTACCACTAATTAGTGTTCTAGGGAACTCCATTATCTGACTTTATTTTGTAAGGCTAAAATTAGTTAAAAATAATGTTTGGGGTAACCAGAGTAAATTTTAAGTACTATGTAGTACCATGTAGTACCATGTAGTACCATCCAGCGATCGCCTATGCCCGTAGTTTTCACAGCGGCAGCATTGACTTTGAACCGAGAGTTGTTTGTGTAATGTTTACGGAATGTGTGAGCACAACAGAGAATGACAAACAGAGTGGGTGAACCGAAAAGGGGGTGGGACGGACGAAGAGGGCAAGGCGGAATGGTGGATAATATAATAACTGTAGACGCAGCTGCAGAGCACGCAGCGAAGCGACAACAAATAAACTACAAATTGTATAGTCTCCACCGCAGTCGTCGTCGCAGTCGGCATCGCTGCCGCCGATAGTTCTGGGTGCCACCAAAGCAGCGACGTAGACGTCGGCAGAGCCCGCTCTTTTTGGATGTAAAATGTCGACCGTTTGCGGCGGGCGTCGTTAGTCACTTGAGTTCGTCCGCCTGGTCAACAACAGCGGAGAAAGCGAAGCGAGAAGAGAGTGAGAACCGGTGCATCTCGAAGATCCATAGATTCGTAGCTCCAAAATTTCCGCCGTGGACTAGTGAAACCCAGTTATCAAAAAAACCGATCCACATCAAAAGTAGGTTCCAAAAAAGTGATCATAACTATTCACCCCCGTTATAGCATACGTATTTTTGTTTTCCAAAAACTATCATAGAGCATAATCTTCGACATGAAAACCAAATTATCAAGTAGTGTTAACGCCCATTCCTAGTACCATTCGAGTAGCATAGTAGAACTACCAATCCCAATCCCAGTTGTAATTCCCAGCTCCCTGTCCAAACACACTGCTCACATGCAAATTGTAACCCAATTGTTTGCTCATTTCTGTCATTACCAGCGTCGATTAATGGGGGGTGGGATGGTGAAAGTCAATAGAGCGAATAACATGCACACAACACCGCCGGAAAAGTGCCTCCCCAAACCTCCAAATGAACCTCCCCCAGGTGTTAGCTCTAGGACTGTATACACATTATTATCCCTCACGATTTGATTGCCGCGACACGCGTTGACCCACATCAATAAACCGACCAAAACAGACTGACTAACTTAGGTTACCCACTGGAGGAGGGGATCTCCAAACCTAAACTCCCAATGGAGTCGTGAGTTCCCAGTAATTTGCGGAAAGAAATAATGAATAGCTCATAAAATACACTTAATTTCAGGAAACTGAATAAGCTTACCAAGTTCCCCTCCTCAATCAGGTGTTCTTAAATCCTGGAATTTTTAAGGCATTTTATAAAATTTAAGTGTCCGTAAACTATATTTTCGTTTTGGGTTTTTTTGGCTGTCAATTAATCATATTCGCTTTCAAAAATATATGTATACTTTTAAGTTCTTAAATTTATACATGTATTCCTTAATCGGGGAATCAAAGGATAATGACTTTAACTTTATACATAAATGGTTGACTTTAGTAGTGTTGCGTCTGCAATTTTCAGACTTTTTATTGCACCGTAAAAATAATTATTGTTTAGTTTACTTATCTGGTCGCCCATATGTTGTCCGCAATCTCCAGTAAATTATGCTTAGATCAATAAACAAAGTCAAATAAAAAGTACAAGTACTTTGCAGCTGCGAATTCTTTGGAAACGTTTATCAGAGACCCTTTAACAGGAACTAACAAAAAGCCCCCAACCATAAATGCAAAAAACATTTCAACTAAAAATAGAGTCTGTTTCAATGTACAACTATTCCAGCAAAAATAAATAAATAAATGATATTTCTAATCTAGTATTAAAGAAATTTCACATTCCTTGTCTATCCTTAGAAATATCGCTTATAATTTTACGATTTACATGCAAGAATTTAATTACTCATTAAACTGGGTTTTTTCCCCCAGTGTACGCATAGTTTGCCAGCGATCTGGTCTGAATTATCTTTATATAGCGAGTGCCTTCAATTACCCCACGACCATTAAAAACACCAATTAAAGGTGGCAGTTGGGCCACAAGTTGCGATACTTGATCTCTCGCCGTGGCTCTATTAATTCGTAGCACTGGGAAATCTTAGAGGTTTTCTCCCAGCCAAACAATAAAGCTCCCTGTTTTTGGGTGCATGGAAAATTTTCAATAAAATTCGGCACTTTGGTATTAAAATCGCACGGGGAGTGACGATATAGGAAAATAGTTGGTGATACGGCGACGTGCGAGCCATCAGGCAATTAGCCATGTCTGGAGAGTCTAGGGTCTAGAAACCGGTAGGTGTACGGGAATCGGGCCCGGAGAACCTCTTGATGGGCGGTCAGCTTTATCGCTGGCACTGCCAGCGAGAAATGAAAACACTCTAGAGCGAACGGGGCGAATGCCAATAAAATAGTGACTAAATGAAGGGGAGTGCGATTGGCTCGGGGTTGTATGTTTATTATTATTTATTATTGGGCGAAATAGATTGTTTTGTGCCCAGTTTGTGCAGTGCGTTGCCAAGTTGCCGGGCCGTCGAAAATCGAAATTAAACAAACGAGAGGGAAGTGGCTCTTTTCTATGGAATTTAATTTATGCATGCGCGAGTCGCGTGCTCGGAGTCAATGAAAATGTTGATCAATTCTTGTGACAGCGTTCGTCACTCTGTGAGTTCAAGTTCCCCCACCCGATCGCCCATTACCCCCGATTTATGCCCTTCTCATTCAAATTAGCGTGCGTGGCTACATTTTCTAATTAAAAGACGGGGCGTGTTTTAGTCCCCCACTGTGGCGAAAAACCTCTCCCCGTCTGCCATGTTATCAATATGTAAATTGATCAGACTCCCCTCCAATCTTATCTGCCGACAGACTTACGTAAGGGGAGCGATTCTTCGGCACCCCCATTACTCATGCCACCCGGAACACCTGGAGGGGTCAGACAGAAAGTGAATCACGCATTTGGAGTGTTTGCAATAGCCGATAGGCCCTTATCAACGCTCTTAACCCGAAAAGTTTGAATGAATCTAGTAACGAAGGGGTGGTAGAGGTCCGGCTGGGAAAAAAGTGGGCCAGGTGTGCTGTGCTTATCAGCAGGGCAATAAGCCATCGAACACGCACGAGAAACGAATCGACCATTCCCCCTTGGCCGAAAATTATAGGAAATGTTCTGCGGGGGCGTCGACTATACCCAGTATTCGCTGGGTACAAAGGTATATTGCTTTCGGTTAGGAGTGTGACATATAAAAACCGAAAGCTCTGCAATTTACGATTGCAACTCTCAGCTACCCAAGCAAATGTATCGAGTTTCGCACAACATTTACCCATGTGGCACAACATTTTAAATTGATTTTATCAGGAGCTATTTTGTCCTTTAAATTAAATACTTGAGTGACTGGTAGCAGATTAAACCGAAATGTGACATTCATTTTATAATACATAGTTTTATTTAATAGCCAAATTCAAATAATAAGCTTTTAAAAACATATAATAAATACAAATTGTACACTTTTAGGTATTATGGGAACCAATAATATCAGTCTAATAAAATCAAAAGTTTTGCTACGTTTGTTTTCTCAGCTGGCCAAGCTATTTAGATGTATTTTAAAATCTTTTCACGCTTTTTCCTCCTCCCACAAAAAGGTATTTCGTTATTTATTTAATGGTTTTTACTTTTCTATTTTTGCAAATAGCACCAATACAGTAAAATCAATTACTATACATTTCATAAATTCGAATTCCGACATTAGTTTCTTTATGTAATAATTAGTAATATTTATATTGACTAAATGATTAAAGTAAAGTTAAAACTTCATATTTATTTTATGTGCATATAAACTATGGTCTTACGTTGTTTCCCCGAACAGGTGCCAAAAAGATAATTAAATGTTGGTAACAGGTATCTTTTAGTCAAAATCTTTATAGACACATGATATTTTTATGGATAGTAAGGGTGGGGGTGTTAGATAAGAGAACTACTTAGCAATTGGGCACCTGAGGTTAGGAATTGCTTAAATCTCAGCAAATCGGAAAGTACAATGATAGAGCAGAATCATCCACTCGAGGGACACACTAACCATCGTGAAAGTAGTTTGAAAATGTACCCACCTGCCTGTGGTTCGTGTGCAGATCCACCTGTTATACACCTGCCCATGATTCACTCTTGATGTGGCTTAATGGCCACTTTTGTTGGTGCCCATAATGATGTAGTGTTGCTTCATTTGTTTTCGTCCAGATAGTGGCCAATTTGCAGATCGGTGATTGAAACAGGGAACTCGGCAGGCGATAAGCCACGATAACGCCGACCCGGAATGCCGGCGAATTTCGATCCATGTCCACAAATAAACGCTGTTCTGTTAATATCCAGAGTAAACCCTTTAGTTTTCGGGGGGCTGAATGGGATGGTGGGGCGTGGCACTTGAGGCTGGCAACAGATTTCACACCAATTACAGTCAAAACTCTCTGAAAGGCCTGCTAATAGTGCGCTTATAGTCGTCCTAAACTTCAATTAGCGAGTATCTGAGTATTTGATTTGATTGCACAGCGAGAAAAATTTTTATTATAGACTTTTGAAAGCCATAACTAGTATAACAGACTATTGTAAATATTTACATTATGAAAAGTTTATTAGCCTTAGTTTGTTTGCTTGGGTATTACTCATGGTTGGCCAGAACTTGCTTTTTGATTATACTTTCTCTCAAAATCACAAGATTGGAGAATTAGATTTTTAGTTTGCTTAGCAGTAACTGTAAGTCATGACATTTAGCATTTTGGAAGTGGCTTCATTGCGTATGAGTTATATCAGAAATCAACAGTTTTTAATCATTTCTAAATATTCCATTTTTCGTGTATCACGAATGCAAGAGGTTATTTAAATACATGTTCACTGATTCATTTAAATAGAGGATGGCATTTACTTAAGTTATTTCTTCTATGGCGTCTGTTTATTTTTGATTGCAATTGTAGTATTGTAATATTCATCATGCCTTTCTTAACTGCAGAATGTGCCTTTCATCCCCGATTCCCGGCCAAAAGCAGGCGCCTGCTGTTGGCCACTGCAATGGATCCTGCAGCCTGGACAGGAATGGAAACCGCAGTTCTACCAGTGTCCCCAATGGAGGAGAACTGAAGCACAGAACACATGCCGCAGATGCTACACACAACCTCATCGAAGATGATGAAAACCTGGGCTACAAAGAGGAGAATGCGGTCTACAGGGAGAACGCCCAGGAGCAGCAGAAGTTGCTGCAGGAACAGGATCAAAAGCTAAAGGATGCGGAACAGGCGGAGGAGGAGGAGTACAACCCGCAGATCAGATGGCCCGATTTGGGGGCCCAGGCCTTCCTGCACATCGGCGCCCTGTACGGACTATATCAGCTCTTCTACGCGAACTTCTACACTTTCCTCTGGGGTGAGTGCCCACCGTCGTCCCGGGTAATTAACATCTGGTCGGCTAATGAGTTGCATCCCCTGGTCACCAATCTCTCTAATTGCATCTGCCAACATGCAAACAGATAGTCGGGGTATTAGCTATTTTGTAACAAACTGCAGTTGCTGTTAACTAGGGCAGTTTTTATGAAGTGAGGTAATCTTTGCAATCTAAATGCACTTATATTACAAATAATATTAAAGGTTAATCTAAAAAGTTTGAAAGTCAGTGAGTAATTTTTGGATATGCACTCAAGGGAAAAGTTGACCAAACCATTGATTCAAATAGCTATTGATAATAGATTTTACACTATAAAATCGGTAAAAGTATCGCTTTGTGTAGCTCCGCAATTGCCATAAACATACACGCAGAAGAACATATTTAAGTATATTCAAAATAACATATTATTTATACATTTCAAAAAAACCGAGTCATTTGAGTAACTTTATTAAAACAACAATAAGTCGCCGCCCTCAACAATGTTGTTCATCAATGTTTTAGTCCAAGATGACGCATGGAAAATCAAAATACGTTAATGTTATGCAATAGGTAAACGACCATCGGTTTATATGCATATGTTGTGAACTTTGACCGTTGGCAATTAAAGTTAACGAACGCTTCAATTGCTCGATATAATTTGGCTGGCGATCGAACTGAGCAAAAGAGCGTGGCAGATATCCGAGTGGCGACAAAATAGGCCACCTCGAAGAACGGGGAATAGATAGATCTATTTAGAGCCGGGCGTTGTGTCATCCGTTGGGCAGCAAATCAAGCGAGAAGCGTTACCAGATGGGCGGGTATATATATAGTATATGCTTGTTTGTTTAGACAATGACATCCGTCTGTTCTTTTTTTCCCAGTGGTGGTCACCGTTTGGGTCTCTGGAATCGGCATCACGGCGGGAGCCCACCGCCTTTGGTCGCACAAATCCTATACTGCTTCGTTACCTTTAAGGATTCTGCTGGCTTTTGCCTTCTCCATCGCTGGTCAGGTAAGTAGTACTTCATTTGATTTTCCATTTGTGAGGTAAATCTATCTAAAACTTTGTAAATTACAGAGGGACGCCTACACATGGGCATTGGATCATAGGATACACCACAAGTTCTCCGAGACCGATGCCGATCCGCACAATGCTAAGCGTGGCTTCTTCTTCGCCCACGTGGGCTGGCTGTTCCTCACCCCCCATCCCAAGGTCGTGGCCAAGAGGAAGGTCATCGATATGTCCGATCTGGAGGCGGATGCCGTGTGCATGTTCCAGAGGAAGTACTACATCCCGCTCTTCGCCCTCTGCTCCATCATCCTGCCGGTTGCTGTGCCCTGGTACTTCTGGAACGAGGACCTGTGGATGTCCTTCTGGATCAACTTCAACATGCGCTTCACCTGGACCCTCAATGTGGCCTTCTTCGTGAACAGCGTGGCGCACATGTACGGCAACAAGCCGTACGACAAGTAAGACAGACTACTGTACTATAGAATGGTTCGATTTAAGCGTGTGATATAGGAACGGAAAAATACCAAAAACTAAGTTTGGCAGTGAAACTTTAAGGGACTAATCGTACATGCTATGATCATACTTTTTACTATCACCTAATTTCCTATTTGTTTATAACAACTTAAGTGTTTACACACATTAACAAATTGCCTACTTGTATTCATTAAATGAGTTTAGTTCCAGACTGTAAACTTTGAATGCTTGTGATGAACAATAATTAAAAGTATTATAATTACTTATTTATACTATCCCCTTAGTAATTTCTAGTTGTTTACGCAATACAAATCAACAAAATGCTTATCTGTATACACTTTTAAGCCATTATTTATTATCAAATGAATTTAGTTCCGCGCTGTAAACACTGAAAATGTAGTAATGAACACTTTGCTTTAATTGGCTAATAATTCAATTTAGTTTACAAATTATACACATGCACAGCTTTGCGTTTTTCGTGCCAAAATACAAAATGGTAATAGTAATTGTGCAAAGGGTAATAAATTTGTAATGTTTAAAATTAAACTGTAGGCGTAACAGAGTCTCTAGATTTTTATAAATTACAATTGATTTAAATTGTCCTTATATTACATCCTTATATCAATTGACATCTCCTTTTTCTCAGACCTACTTACTTAATTGTTTCTTTTATTTAATCCAGGAACCTGATGTCCTCTGAGGCTCCCATTGTCTCCCTGCTGGCCATGGGAGAAGGATGGCACAACTACCACCACGTCTTCCCTTGGGATTACAAGACGGGCGAGTTCGGCAACTATAGCCTCAACATCACCACCGGTTTCATCGACTTTTGTGCCTGGCTGGGCCTGGCCAAAGGACGTAAGTTGCGGATATACTTCTAAATAAATTCTAAACTAATTTATTTTTTCCGTTTTTATTAGGTAAATCGGTATCCCCTGATATGGTCTTGAGGAGGGCCAAGAAATGTGGCGACGGAACTCGCTTCCTGGACGACGACTTCGCCCACAAGGATCCGGTGTGGGGCTTCGGGGACAATGACATTCCCCGCGAGGATATCGCGGAACTGGCCAAGATGCAGAACTAAGCCTTGGCCGCGTATTATGTTTTCAGCCTGTGGTTTTAATAGTATTAAGTGTGTAGCACCAAGCCATGCCTTATGTTCTCTTTATAGGATCTGGGTTTTTATCTGAGATTTTTCAATCTAAGCTCAATCTCGTTTGGAAACTCAGGTCTGTTAATCTGGGCATTTGACCCATCCCATCCCCATCCCCATCCCATCCTGGATCACTAGGATCGCCGTATAGGGGCTAATCTCCCTTCGATGCTTTCGTTACTTACCTGCGGGTCAATAAACTATGTTTTGTATTATAAGGCCGGTCGACTCTGAACACCCTTGGAATATTGGAGGCTTATGCATATGCGATTGGTCTATGAATAATCCATCGACTTGCCTCATCGGCTTTTTTAATTAAGGGGCGGTTTTAGTATAGTCTAGACAGCCGCGCAAGGCGGAACCAATTGGATAAAGGATCTTAAATCGAAATACTGGAATCCGAAATGGAGAAAACCAAAGTCAAGGAGCTGGATCACGTTGGGGACTCTATCCATAAGAAGCGCGATGCCGTCTGGCCGGTGGTTCTTTTCTATATCCATGTAAATATCCTGGGTGTATATGGGATATACATTCTACTGACTAGTGCTTCGTTGGCAACGATTTTATTCAGTGAGTTCGGCAGGTTAATTATCCACTTGCTGCTTAACAAGTGGGTGGAATTTTTACCTAAAATATATATATTTATCTTTACATATTAGCCTCTCTACTCACACTCCTTGGAATATTGGGCGTGACGGTGGGTGTTCATCGGCTTTGGGCCCACCAGACATTCACCGCCTCCAAACCTCTAAAGGTTTTCCTAATGTTTTGCCAGACGACAGCAGGCCAGGTGAGGTTACCCCCTCGAAAGCTTTTGCTCACTACGCATCTGACAAAAGCTTTAACTTTGTGCTTTTTATCTGAGACACACACCTTTCAGATTAAGTTTATAATTCACTTTACTTTTCCGATTCAGGGCTCCATCTACAGTGTGGTTCAGGCCCATCGTCTGCACCACGCAAAATTCCTGCAGGACGAGGATCCCTACTACAGTAAACACAGTTTCATGTACGCCCAGGTGAGAGGTTGCTTACTAAAGTACTCGCCCCAGCAAGAGGAACTGCTCAAGGATGTGGACATGTCAGACCTGGAAAGTGATCCCATTGTCATGTTTCAAAAGCGGTGTGTTACCTCAGAATATTACTTATTTTACCTCGACATTTGTATGCTGTTGCGGAATGAAAAACATTATTATGATTTTATTTTACAGATTCTATGTCTTGCTTTACATCTTCCTAAATGTGCTGCTTTCGGTTAACACCCCATTCCAGTATTTTGGGGACTCGTTGGCCACCTCCATGTTCGTGGGATTCTGGCTGCGCAGTCTGATTGTGATTAATCTGGGAAACCTGGTGAATTCATCGCACTTTATTTGGAGCATCCACAAGGGCTTTAAGCCCACGGACTCGAACAGTATATTTCTGATCACAAAGAGCTACTGGCCGCAGTATCACTATTTGTTGCCCAGGGACTATCAGAGTGGCGAATTCGGGGACTATGCCTCCGGTATTGGATCGGCCATGATTCGTGTATTTGCCGCCCTCGATTGGGCCAAGGATCTGAAAACCATTGGATCCGTGGCCGTGCGCCAGGGACTCACCAAGGCGGTGGAAACTGGTCGTCCGATTGTCGAGTGCATCGAGGAACAGGTGGAGTTGGAGGAAAACGCCCTGCCCGCCAACCATTTCCTCAACCGGGAGAAGTTTATGTGAGCATATTGCATCATCGGGTCACTAAAGAGAAGCGACAAATGGCCGCGGCAGTCGTAAAAATAAATTAACCGCCACACAAAAAAGGAGGCGGGGTAGAGTAAACTGTGAGTCTAATTATTGGTTAGCATAAAAAACATAGCAAACATAGGTGCTATTCGAAGTCCGTGGCCTTTTCGTGGGCTGGAATGGAACTGGAAATGGAAATGGATGTGGGATGTCAGTCAGTGGGCGTGGCTGGATGCACTTGGCGCTCTTTGTTGCCCAAGAGTAAACAAACCAGCTTACAAATCACATTTCGGCCTAATTATGAATTTCCATGCACACATAGAGAAAATAATATATATGTAATGACATTGCTTAATTTATAATACATTACCGGGGAAAATTACTTTTTCAACTTAAATTAATAATATCATAGCATATAAACAAAATCACATGATTTAAAATCAAATATGATATTTCTTTGGGTATTATTGTACCTCGAAATTTATGAGTAGGCGGGATCTTTATTATCAGTTTTTTTCTGTGCACTACCTAGTTCCAATTTTGAATCCAAGTTCGAGTTTGCCGCCTCTTTCTGTTTGTCTTTCGTTTGTTTACAGATGCCAATTCATTTGGCAATCGATTCGTTTGCTTTCCCATGCTCGAATCGGTTGGGTGTCGGGATATGGCTGCATATATTTAGATGCGTACATATATTCGGCATCAGGTGCTCTGTGACGGGTTTGTGGGTTGTGCCTAATGATTTTATTAGCCATACGCAATGTGTGTTCAGTGGCTGTGTCGCTGATTGACTCGTCAATATTGACACCGCACTCAGTGCCTGCCCAGAAGCCTTTATCCAACCCATGCTCCTGCATGCTCCTATGTTTGCTCATCAAACTTGGTTTAAGCAAACCTTGCGCCTCACTTGGATCACATCGATCGATGCTAAAGAGTCTGGCCATTCTAATATACTTCTACCCCTACCCCTACCCCTACCACTACTCCCCTAAGTAAAATTTGCCTAGGTGTGAACATTCCACATTTAACGCAACTCCACTGACTCACATTTGAGTCGGCCACTTGTACCAATTCCTAATGACTCTGCGCTGAAGTGATTACTAATGAATTTGCCTGCTAAAAGCTGCCACACTTAAAACATTTTATGACTTACAAGTGCGGTAAATAACATGTCATGTGGTGTAAAGAAAATTACTGGAAAAAATATAACAACAATGAAAAGTAAAGACTGTTTGCCTTGGGTTATCTATTGACAGTTTCTGAACGTTTTTTTTAACAAATGTTCAATAATTTTCTTAACTATTATATGTATTTTAAATGGTATTGAATAACCCTTTGGGTACTTAAGCTTATACCTTACATATTCATAAATGTACCACTTAAAGAATTTTTTTTTTAACTAATACAAAATAAAGCATATGCAATGGAAATGGTATGATATTATTGCATCGATCTTTCTGAGTGTATCCCTATTCGCTTTTAGCTGTTTGCGCTGTGGCAGATTTGAGATATGAGATCCGCTCCGCTCTGTGGCAAATTGCAGCCGCGTCGCGTCGCGTTCTGCGCTTTGTTTAGTGTTAATTTGTTTTCCATAAAGCGACTGAGCGACAGTTGAAGGTTGTATAAATTCGTGGAGTACGCAAAATCGCTGTTGACTGGTCGGCTTATGCAACTCAACGGCTACCATGGGCCCCAAAAAGTATCTAACTTCGATTCGGGCAGGTGTGTTTGGATGCTGGGGGGTCAGCCTGGCTAAAAACCCTCACCATTCACGGCCTAATCGCTGGCAAATTGAAATATTTTGCGCATGAATGACTGTCTTTTGAGCGTGCGGCCAAGAACAGTGGAACGGGAAGCGATTAAAGGCAAAGAAAATAGCAAACACATATGAAACTCATATTTATGGTTGGGTACCTGAACAATAGTATGATGGCTTTGTTCGGGGGAACTTTTCGGCCAGAACCCTCATATAAAACGCTGACTGTGCGAAAAGAGAAGCTGCGCAATTTATCAAAGTGGTTTCCAATGATTTCGAGTTGGCTGTTTGTTTATAAACAAAGCATTCCCCCCCCGGCAGACAGCAGACAGCCGACAATTTCCAAGCGTTTTACTGTTTTTCTGTGGCTTTGCATAATTGGCTAATGGCCGGGGCCTTACAACATCAGCACCTCATCAACAGCATCTTGCAGATATCCACCACAACACACCATTTACAGTGGGTCGAGATCAAAGGGTTCGGTCGCGTGACACTGTGAACGTTTGCAGATTCGGTAATTCGGAAATTGCGTTCGGTTGTTTGGGTGTTTCGGTTTTTCGGTTTTTGGAGAAGCTGTAAACCCACTTTACGATGGGACAGTGGGCTTCCTTGGCTCTGGGGTTTCGTCGCTTTGCTTTTGCTTTTGGGTTTTAATTAAGTTCGGTTTCTGTTTCTGTCGCCGCGGTTACGTAAAGAGAAAGCAACTCTCGTCTGTCGTCTGTGGGTCTTCGGGAACTGAACTTCATGATCATCGAACGGCTTTTGACTTTTTGGCTTTGGCCAACACCACACACACACACATCCACATCCGATCTTCAAAGTGAAGTGTGGTGGAAGCCCAGTTAAAAGATGATGACTGAAATCGATGTTTATAAATACTTTAAGCTTGCAAAAGGAGAGATTGTCCGCATGCAAATGGGCAGCAGAATCGCAGAATCCAGCAACTGCTTCGAAAATAGAAATCGCCGAGGGAAAGGTCTTATTTGAATATTCCCCTTCAATCGAGAACCTAACGGGGCGTATGAGTTATGGGCCCTTGACAACAAGAAATCAACGGTGCGAATCCGTCATGGAGGAAGTTTAACTCTTTCAATTAGCATGCTGGCGTACTATGCAAAATCATAATATCCACGTGTACGATTCCATCTCAGTTAGCAAATGCAATTAGAATCGTCTGCGTTACTTGTAGATCGCCAGCATTATTCGAACATTCGTGAGTAATCATGAGAAATGCCGGCAGACTTCTTGTCGGTCTCTGAATTTTTTATTTTTTTTTGGCGGCCAGAGGGGCACTTGTCGGGTGCGAAAGAGACGTCTGGTCAGACAGATAAGAATTGAAACTTAGGGGCAGACCCCGTGGTACTGTGTAATGTCTTAATTGGATAACTATCAGTACTTACTATCTTTGGTGGCAGGGTATTTAATTAACTTAAAATTATTCAGCTTTCTAAACAAATTTATTCAGATTTTGAAATCATAAACCTTTCCTTTTCATTAAAAATGGTTGATTTCTAAGCTATTTTCTATCTCTTTAGCTTAATAAAATTATAAATATATACAAAATTTTATGATTTAATGTAGTTGATTATGTTTTAAAACGTATTTTTTCATTTGTGAGCTTGGTCATGAAATTAAAATAATAAGATTAAATACGCAACATTAAAGGAACCATTTAAATTGGCGGTTTTTGGATAACTGATGATGTAAATGTCATTGATTAGATGGCAAATACTTCTTTGTTTTTTTCTTGAAAAGAAAACTATCGATATTTAAACGCCAACTCATGAGTGAATGTGAATCTTTCCCAACTCGCAAGCCTTTCTGAAGTGTCTTGAGTTTCCCGCAGCGACAAGGTTTGACCTACTGATGCATGACACCCAAAGACCCACACATTTGGCGCAAATTCGAGGTAGCGCACATCCAGAGCTGCTGACTGCGCTGCTGATTCTGCGACCAAGTGCCGATCCGAAGTGGAACACGAAGCTATAGCCGAAGCCGAAGCTATAGCCGAAGTTTGCTAAACCGAGGCTATAGCCGAAGTGGTTTGTTACAGGTGGTTCGGTGGACGTGTATGTGTGGTGGCATAATCTTGGCCTTCTTGGCCATTTCGTCTCTCCATTTCTTTTCTTTACCTTTGTGCGGTGCGTCGGCTTGGAAACTCCGTCAGTCAGTCAGTCAGTCGGTCAATCAGTCAACTTTGGCTCAGTCGCCATCGCCGTCGCAGTCGCTGCCCAGGTGAACCGAACTCAACTGCTCTGCTCAGGTGAGCCGCATAGGTAGGAATTTACACTTTTGGCTACGATCATTTGTCTACGGAACGGCGCCGCGTTAAGTTCGTTAGACGCGAAAAGCGACAGAAAGGAAATCCCCCTCAAAAAAAACAATAACGAACCGCGTCCGCTGAAGTGACAGTTTGGTTTTTAGTAAGAAAGCCAAACTCCAACTCCGACTCTGGGCCAAGTACTCCGGCAATTAGGCCCTTCGAGTGTTTGTGTGTTAAGCTGTGAAGAAAGTTCGGCGAGTGTGCGTGCGGCAGCAGTTACGAAACGCGGTTTCCGCCGGCGAACCCAAAATAAAAACCCGGGAGCCCCAGAGAGAAATACATATCTGTGAAAGCGCAAAATGGGTCACCTTTCCACCTCGGAGCGAGTGTGCAGCAAGACGCCGGCCATTTCGGGGGATTCGAGTCCGCCGCTAGTGGCCCGCCGGTCCAAGTTGGCCAACGGGGATGCCCAGCAGCAGGTGCGACGGGGCGAGGATTCGTCCCCGGAGCTGCCGCCACGCGGCAAACTGCAGCTGCCCCCCAAGAGGGAGGAACTGCCGCGGGCCGTCATCCCCAAAGGGATCGCCAGGCACGTGCCCAGGGACGCCATCGATCTCGAGGAGTACACCCGCACCTTCGTCGGCGATCGCGTGCTGGGATGGCAGTTTAAGGCCCCCCTAAAGTGGGACAAAGTCATCCAGATCTCATTGCTCCACATCGTGGCCGGAATCTGCCTGCTGACCTATCCGCTGCGAGACCTCAATCTCTACACCACCATCTGGTGTAAGTATCTATCACCATCTAACTCATCCATATCCATCCCATCCGGCATTGCGTAATGCCCACTCTCTCTTTCTATCGTCTGTCGAATTTGGAAATGGTGGAATGGGGATAGGTGTGGAAACAAAGAGTCATCTCTGATCGATGCTGTCTGTAAAGGGAAAAAATATTACACATAGAAAAAATAATACTTATATAGCAATTTACCAGGATTTATACTGGATGTGCCTTTTTTTAACATCTTCATGGCTCGCATAATTTTTGATATATTAAAACACCGCTAATAATACTTTGAATATTACATGCAATGGCAAAATCAAAGTTTTTTAAGACAGTTAGTTTTCTGCTATATTTTTTGGTAATGTTTGTATTAAGAATCGTTTTAGCTGCCATTTGGGTGAAACTTAGTTTTTTTATAGTACTAAATTTAAAGGAAATCTTAGGTTTAAGCTGTAATATTTTTCTCTCAGTGCTGATGTGTTGTTGGTGTCGCTGATGATGTTGTCTTTACAGTTTACACTCCCCCAAAATTTGTTGCCCCACCAATTATTTGCAATTTTGCGCGCCCAGCGCCTTAAGCCCCTCGGCGTTTTCTTTCTCTGGGCCATTACAAAATGCGTCCCCTTGTTATTGCCTTTAATTGATTACCGCTTAACACGACGCCCCTTCCCTTTCCCATTCCCCCTTGGCCCCTTTCCCCCTTTCCCTCCAAAAACGCCCTTCAGCTTCTGCTTTTTGTTATACGACGTGTGTTGAAATCTCTTTCATTGGCTTTACTTTGGGTTTGGGTTTGGGTTTTGAGTTTTCGGCTGGCATGCAATTTCAGTCTCAGCACAAAAAATGACTGACACAGGTGGATTGCAGAAAACAAAACCAAAACGTGCTGGTCTACAATAAATATGCGGTCAAAAAGAGAGGTTGCCAGCGAGAAAGAGAACCGCTTGACACAAATTTATTTGGGGCTTTGAAAGATCTACCCCACTGTTATTAAGCCTCGATATTAAGTAAACAAGGTTGAACTAGAAATTTCTGGGTCCTTCAATTCAAAACTGCAACATTAACGATTTCAGCTTACAGGGCCGTAAGTCAAAGTTAAACCAAAGAATAGATAATATGTTAGTTTTGTAAATGATGGTTACCAAGGCTGAGTTGGAAATTTCATTTCCAAGCCGCGAAAGATGATTTATCATAGAAATTCTTGGGTACAAAGTATTGTAAAGTACTGTACCTTTATAGATCTTGTTTTACATGTCCCAACTTCATATATTTCACAAGACAAAAGATGATTTATTTGTTCAGTAAACACTGACTCAATTTATGAGCACTTCACATGCGAGTACGGCAAAAAAATCAGTTGACATTGAGACAGACTCAAAGGGGGAAGACAGCAGACTACGGGGATGCTCCATAACCGATTTCGTTTTCAATGGAATTACCAGAGCGTATGAAGCTGGGTACTTGGGCACTTCCCTCTTAATGGGTGTACAGCGAAAAATGCCTTAATACCTGGTAATTTTCAATATTTATTGCGCATTGTGCGGCCTGACAGGCAAAAAAAAATGCAAAATAAAATACAAGGAGTATCCTTGTATGAGGAGGATTCCTTTTTTGGGGCGTCGAGCTCGTAAATATTTTGGCAAATTGGCGGTCGAACGTGCAGCGCTTAAATATGCTCCCTGGCATGCTGGGAATTATCATCTTTTGCCGGTTACGTAGATGGCGAAAATTGTCGTGCTCAGGCCAAGATATTGATTAAAAAAAATGATGGGGAAAAAGACTCTGAGCTGAGGGGACTTACATAAACGCATTAACATTGGGCGTTAATGAAGCTGCCGAAAAAAACTAACATTTATATAAAGACAAGTCAACGCTCTTCCAACTCAGGGCCGCTTGTTGTTTTTCTGTCTTGGGATCAAAAAAGATGGGCGGTGGAATAGCTAATGCAGCTAAGCGTTTCAGCGATCTTCGAGTCAACTCAAAATCTAATTTCGAAACGGTCTGAACTTGAACTTTTTTGCTATTGCTACAAGTTCCACTGCATTTGGAATGCAAATATCCAAATTACAGAGCTATTTAACGATATGTTTCTCATATTTATTACTGGAGAGTAAAAAAGAATATTTTAAAATTATTAGAAAATTACATGAAGTAGCCAGAATAAATGAAATAGATTTGAGTCATTTTTATTGATGGTTATACGTAACCCATTTGTGGGCACACCAATGTTAAGTTTGATCATTTCCGCACTTTGTATTGGCCTTTAATTGTTAATTTCATTTTTTGGTGAGACGGAACTGGTTTTTGTCGCAACACTGTGAAGGCTAATCTTTCCTCCAACCAATCGAAAAATCTATGAAATTCCCATTCAGTGAAATCGTTAATAGTTCATTAGTTGGTTGCCGAAATGTGAGATGCGGTGCTGCTGTGCGAGCATATTTTAAATCCTCCTATATCATGGATCGTTAGGCGATGCGGAAAACCCCTTCGTGTGATCAATAAGTCATTACTTCTAATAGCACTTCTAGTAGCAATTATCCAAATCAATGGGATGGTGACAATGGCATTTTGCATATTCTAATGGAAGAGAACGTCTGGAAGGTATGTACCTGTGTGTGATTTCCATGTGAGTGATATTTCTAATGATGGCCAGAATCGTGATCAGTCATTCACCGGATTTATATAAAGTTCCCCTACCGTCTAACCTTGTGCCGTCTCGATTCTCTTTTATACTCCATTTGTTTGTCGGCGAAATTAGCACACAGCCTCAAATAGCTCAATTTGCGGAAATGTAATTTCGGGTTTTTCTTTTGGCATCCAATTAACACTGCCTTTGTCCAAATCTTTATAGCCGTCACTTACATCTATCTTTTAATTTATGTATCTTCCAGCATTCTTCGTTGGCGGCGTGGCTGGATTTGGAGTTACGGCCGGAGCCCATAGGTTCTGGACCCATCGAAGCTACAAGGCCAACACCGTGTTGCGATCCATTCTGATGGTCTGCTACTGCGTGGCCGGACAGGTGAGTTCACAAGAAGATGAGGATCGGATACCTCGACCTTTGGCACACGTAATGCCACCTGAAGACTTGTCCGCATTTTGCCAATTCATTTGACGCGCCACCTTCGGATTTTTTTTGGGGGGGAGCTGTAATGCAATTAACATTAATTGCATCATTAAGTATAACAACTTAATGCCTGTCGCGACTGACAAACTGTAAAATTGACAATTCCAACTACTCGGGGCAGCCGCGACTGGCAAAAGTGTTTTGCTTTGTGTATCTCGCAGATACATTTGTCTTATTTAATGACTGCAGCGATTAAGCGCAGCAGCTCTCAGCCGCAGATGCTTAGATTTCGATGCGGAGCGTGAAAGATATATAAATATATGTACTGAGCGACCTGGAGATTAAGAGGAACAATAAAATTTGATGGAGTGTTAAATGAGCCGCGCTGACCCACTAAAGATTGTCACTTTTAGGTAAAGTTTCTCCGCAGAAGGGCTTTTATGTTCAAAAAAAAATTACATTCATATTTATGACCAATTTTTTTTTTATTTTATAAAACGTTAATAATAGTTAGTTTGTTAATGTCAAAGAGATGGTTGCCTAATATCGCAAAAACTATCAAATAATATTAAAAAAGATAAAAGTGCTTGAGAAACCTCTTCTCACGATCTAATATCAAATAAATCCTTTCAGAACACCCTGTACGACTGGGTTCGTGACCACCGAGTTCACCACAAATATTCGGAGACGGATGCGGATCCTCACAATGCCAACAGGGGATTTTTCTTCTCCCACGTGGGCTGGCTGATGATGCTGAAACATCCGGATGTGCTTCGTCGCGGTCGCCAGATCGACATGAGCGACATTCTGGCAGATCCCGTGGTGCGATTCCACCAGAAATACTTTATCCCCCTGAAGACCTTCTTCTGCTTCATCTTGCCTACTGTGATCCCAGTTTATTTCTGGGGTGAATCCTGGACGCTGGCCTTTGTGCAGCAGTGCCTTTTCCGCTACGTGAGCAGCCTGAACTTCACCTGGTCTGTGAACAGTGCCGCCCATCTGTGGGGATCCCGACCCTATGATAAGTAAGTGTGTCACTTCCCCTAAAAAAATAATAAGTCAATAAGGTGCTGACAATAACATTTTTAATTTAGAGCACTAATACAGGTCACTTTACTATTTTACTCATTGACTCAATGCGTTATTTTGCTGATATAGCAGGCGAAAAATGTGAAACTTATTTGCCAACACTTTTAAAAATAGAATGAAGAATACATAAGCACAAAATACAAAGAAATCATTTGATGAATTAAGAAATTTTTGCTTTGCCCACAATATTGGGGTATATTTTCAATCTATATAATAATAGTGTTATTTTCCATGTTATATTTTGTTTCTATAAATTGGTTATGGTTTGGTTCTCTTTAAAATTTAGGTGAAAGTATTTAATTTCTGGGATTTCTTTTTTAATACAACTTGTTTTAAATACACATTGATACTGGCCGTTAAGCATTTTTAAATTATATTAACAACGGGTTTCGGTTTAAAGAATTGAACAGCTTTGTTTTGTTTTAAAGAGGGACTTTATGTTTTCTCAGCAAGGTTTATCTAAGTTTGATTTAAAAAGGGTTTAATGGTTTTCATTGTTGAGTTGACTTAACCCATTTCAAAGGATAGATCTAATTGACATCGTTTTTGTCTTGCCCATCAGGCGCATCATGCCCAGCGAGAACATCTACGTGTCGCTGTTGGCCATGGGCGAGGGATGGCACAACTACCACCACGTCTTCCCCTGGGACTACAAAGCAGCCGAGCTGGGCAACTACACTGTGAACTTCACCACCATGGTGCTGGATGCCTTCCACAAGCTGGGCTGGGCCTGGAACATGAAGCAGCCCTCCAAGGAGCTGGTGCGTCGCACCCTGGAGAAGTATGGCGATGGCACCCACGCCTCCCAGATGGGAGGTCCTGAGGAGTTCAAGGACGGAGTGGTGGCCGGCGCCACCATGGTGGGTCATGTCCACTACGCCGAGGTACCTGATCCGGATCTGGAGTACGATGCCGAGTCCAGCAGCACGGAGAGCGCCAAGCTGGACGAGAACGAGAACGAGGGCGAGCGGATGAAGAAGTCCAAGAAGGCGGCCAACTAGGGATCGGAATTGGATTCGGGAACTGGCGTCCAGGCATCTAGAGATCGAGATGGGCTCGCGGATCACTGATGGGAAGGATCGTCACTTAATCTTGCGTCTATGCGAGGGCGGGACATAGTCGATAATCGTTTTTTTAAATTAAACTCTATTCTATTATTATCTATATCTTCACTCCAAACCAACACACTTGCACCGCAATGGTTAACACTCACACAGATTCACACACTCACACTCACACACCAGACACATACCCCACATCCACTCATTTTCAAATCTTCATTTGTGTAGGTTTAGGTATTTAGCAGATAGCACGGTACGACATAAGTTATGAGTCACACACAAATTTACGTATAAATGACAACAACAAAATATGCCGAAACAAATAAAAAACAAAAATAAATATTTACAAATAAAAACAATTCAAAAATTCAAAGTAAATCGCATTTCAATTGGTCGATTGTCGGGGCCCCTCAATTATTGTCTTTTCTTGAAGCTAGTGACAAATACCTGGCCATATTTATAACATGAAGTACTAATATTTACTTTGTTATGAGCCTAAGATGTGAGCTTGGAAATTTTTAAGTGCCTGGAAAAAACTCCTTATTCAAATGAGCCATAAGTGCGAAAAATGTTTTTGAATAAATCATCAACAATTGACGTACATAATGTAGACCAAATCTTCTAGGAAGCTTTGGAAATTTTTTTCTGAGAATATCAATTCAAGTAAGCAAGAAGTGCGAAATCTGTTTTTGAATATATATTCTTAAATTTACCCAAACCCAAGCCTATGTTAACAATTGACGTCAATGTTTCAGTTGTGAAATCGGAAAACAAACCCATTATGAGAACTTGTCTAACATTTAAGATATACCCAGAATAAATATAGTATTTTAAAGTAAAATGGACTCAGGGACACCCATTATCCAAAAGATTAGTTTTGAAGCGATAGTTTAGTTGTCTATTCTTAAATAAAGCCAAGTATTAACTAGCTGTAATACCATTTTTTGTTGTAAATATTTCCTTGACTACACTCTAAACTCCGCCAGTCCTAATATTTGCATGTTCAACTTTACAGATACTTGCGGAAAAAAGATTTTTTTAAGGCATTATTTGTTTACCTGTTCACCTAGAAGTGCAAATGGTTATATGGAAAGTTGACAAAAGCATCTCATCTTACAAAAGATCAATGTGCTAAAGTAAATATACACCAATATAAAAGGTTGACAAAAAAGATGATAATCAGTGCAGCAAAGGCCCTACTTAAATGTATCTTAACAATCATCAAGCGAGCTTTGTTGTGGTGGAAAAACGACCACTTTGAGTCAAAATTTTTTTTTTTTTTTAATTATTAAGTATTCTGTTGAGTTGCTAAGTATTAAGCTAAATAGTTTAAATGCCAAACGAAGTAGCAACCCACTGGCGGGTTTCCCTTTAACCCCCCATAATGAAACGAAACTATTAACCGGTCACCTTTAATGACAATTTGAGGCAGTGACGAAATTAAGATGCAAATGGAAATGAGAATGGGAAATGGAAACGACTTTTGTCATTGTTATGAACATCATCGTCATCTAAATCACCCATTTAACTGGGCTGTGTAGGTGGTTCCAGGCGGAGTTAGTCGTTAGTCGTTAGCCGCTGCTTAGGCGCCAACAGGTTTCCCTTGACATTGGACTACGTGCCGTAAGAGGCGTCCAATCTGGAGATCGCTACATCGTACAGTCGCAGGAACTGACGCAAGGAACCGCGACTAGAAGCCGTGACTATAATAGTTCCCAAATCGATTCGTTAACTTCCCCACCGGCCCCTCAGTTCCCCCATTTGGTCAGGCCTACGTGCACTTGGCACGTACACCGAACTCAATCTCAATCTCAAGAACGAGAACCTTGAAAAGGTTCAGGCCGTCAGACATTCAAGGGGAATTCCTGGAGCATCGCCCTTTTTGCATCAAGTGGTTGGGAGTTCCCGATTACCATAAAACTTCATGACTTGTATGCTTACAGAGAAAAGATCTGATCAATTTATAAATATTTATATAGAATTAATTATTGTTTGATATTCAGAAACTTGTATATGTATTGGTTGAAAAATAAACTTTAAGGAAGTACAAGCTTCAGCCATTTTTACATCTATAAAATCTTCATATATTTTATTAAATTTTTTGCTGTGTATTCTGTACGCCAATTGTTGTGGAGGTCAAGTGCTTTGCCAATATCAGCAGTCCAAGCAATGGCCAAAAAAACGCCAAAACCCTATCGTGTCATCGTCATCTCATTAGTGCTCTCTGTGTGGCTGTCATCGTCACCTAATTGGTGACGAGCCAGTGGTCACCAAACGAGCACTCAATTTTGGACCATTTTTGTGGGCCTAGTTAATTGAAGGTTGCCCCAGAGGGGCTGGATCGTAATTTCATTAACCCATTGGTAGCCACCCATTGGAAAAGATGAATGAGTTGGTAGATGAAACTCGATCAGGCCTAATAAATGAAGGAAAACTGTTGGAAATAATAAAGAAGAACTAATAATTAAAGTTGGTTTACTTAAGTTTATAATATTATTGTGGATAAAGTATAATATATCATTCAATTGATTTTCCTATTCAGTCACATCAATTTAATTATTATCCATGGTTATCTGTTATGGGGCGATGACAGATAACCATTGATAATATTTAAATAGTTAGATATGACTGAATTCAATCGAATTAAATATTTAATTTTACCGACAACAATAACCATGTTGATTAGAAGATTTTCAGTAAAAAGAACTATTAATCGCTTGATTTGATCAAAATTAAAATTCAAATCCATTGTGATAAATTGATAGTTTAAATAAATCTTTATGAGCCCAAATAAAAATTCAAGAAGATTCTGGCATCTTATGCAAAGAACTTTGATCTCTCTTCTTTATTCGCTTAGCTCGACACGTGTCAGTCCACTTTCATTTAAGAGATTCCAGACATCTTTGAAACCTTTGTATTTACATGCTAATTTTTCAGCCAGTTCATATATTTGAAGCTGATTCTAATTTATATTTTTGTGTCTTCGAAAGCCAAATAAACAAATGATCAGTGGTGTCGCAAGCCATTTTCAAACACAGCCGAATCCCTTTGAGAGTCAACAACATTGGCCCTCTCTGAACTCTGACTGCTTTATCTGAAGATTTATGCGAAATATATGAGATTTCTATGCGATATTCGAGCATTTCCCCCAATTTGGCTTGGCAAAACCTAATTTGGTAAGCGTTAGGCCTATGTATTTGCATAATATCTGAACGTGCCGTGCCGATGGGCTGGTTTATGGGTATTTTGGCAGATCAGGTCCGCCTCCGGTAAAAAAGCCAAAGGGCCTTGATCGCCACACGAGATTTTTGTGGGTGGTCGGTCGGCCATCCTCTCTTTCTTTTTTTTGCCCGGGGAAATCAACTAAATACCCGGCACAATTGCTCGTTAAACTTTTAATTACGCACGGGAAAAGGTCGCACCGTATGTAAAGCAATCAAGATAGCGGTCATTTAATGACGTGACCGGGCGACAATTTCCAATTCCTAAGCGCTAAGAGACCAGAGACCAGCAAACCGTTAATAACCTTGCCGCGGATCCGGAGTTGGTGACGAAAACCACAGACGAGTAACTCGAAATTTGCGTAACTTTTGCGAATGAAAACAGAAAGCTACGTCCCCCGTAAATCCCATGCCCACCAGATTCACGGCTAATTGGCTGTCGATGCGATGGTATCGAAGACCTATACCTACACCCATGTGATTGCCGATAGGCAGCCTCTCTTTCGGAACTGGTATCCACAAGATTGGGTATCTATGAGTATTGGGCTTGAGTGTCTATGCAATTGCCGATTTTGAAAGGGCACCTTTTTTTGTGTGTTTTGTAACCTTTGCGTGTGCGTTCGACTTTTCGGTTTTTCTCGGCTCAAATTTCGGTGGTCCATGGGTGCCATCATTAGGTCTTGATGCCGAGCGATTGATTTATTTGTGCTTTGCGGCCGGGACGTTTGGCTTTGAAATTGATTTCTTCGATCGCGGAGAAAAGAAACCGCTTTGTGGTTCCACTTTTATTGTCCCGCCAGCGTCTTTTGCAATGTTAAAACCCGTTTTAAAAATTCGTCAAAGACAATGCGAAGAAAAATCAAAAAAAAAAAAAAAAGATCACTAAAACATACAAAACATATTTAGTTCAAACGTCTTGTGACTTGCACAAAATTTTGAATAAGTGAGACATCGGGCGTATAGGAAAGAGCATTCACAGCGGTATCTGTATTGCCATATTTGTATATTTGTCCGTTCATGCTGCCGTTGTGGATCCGCAACAGCAATAGCAATAGCAATAGCGCGGACCTAAAGCGACTGGTTTCGGCGGCTTCACGTGCTGCTCCCCCAATTATGGATGCATTCTGCAAATCATTTTCATTTTCATACTCCTCGGCTACAACGGCGAGTTGCGAAAACCCTTGACGCGAGCTCAGCTGTCTGTTCAAAAATTGCAGTTACACGGGCAAAAATAGGGCCCAAGAAGGTCATAGGATCGCCTAAGCTGATAACTTACATCACATATTGCATCGCTTTCATATTGTTAAGCATTCGCACTAATATCTCTATCAACGGAGCAATATGCAAAAAAAAGCCATAAAATTATTTGATAAAAACAAATTTTAAATGCCTTATAAATTGGCCCAGATATACAGATTTGATCTTATCAAATATTTATCATTTATGTTTCTTATACTCTGAAAGCTCTTTCTACCCATCCAATTATCTAAAAATTTAAATCTAGTACATCTTAAAATTTGAAAAATTTTTATATGCTCAACTTAATTCCTTAGGGAGTTATTTATATACATATTTTTATTTTCGGGTAGTAATCTATTTAGCTAAGCAAAATAAGAGCTTCTTTTGTTTCTAAAAATTTTTCGTAAAATAAAAGGTTTTCTTTACTTTTTACCCGTGTAATCCCTGCAGCAACACCCGCTCAGTCACTCATCAAGTCAGACATTCAGTCAGTTTATAAGTTCGTGGAACTAAGTAAAATTTTCGAGTTGCTGCAACCGCTTTGACATTTGTCCACCTTTGTCTGCGCTGGTCGTTGGACGGTGGACAACAGCAAAAGACAGGGCTTGCGCAACTATGAGGCCAGTTTTTTCTTGGTAGCGCCGCAGACAATTTTTAAGTGCATGCACGACATTTCCGGCGCCCGGATTTTGCGGGCTGCATTTCGGAGCACTTGTCACCGTAATTTGCATTTCAGACCTAATTGACATAGACCTTTGAATTTCCGAGTTCAAAATTGTAAATAGCATTCAACTCTTTGCTTGGTAATGGGAATCTGAGCTTAAAGCTATTTATTTGTTTAGATATTGCGAATGCCGAAGATGGGGGACTGCCTGACGAATTCGTCCAGCTTTGATTGAAATAGCTCCGAGGTGACCACTGTGCCGGGCGTCCACAGTGGATCCCGCACCACGTACTCCACCCACACTTTAGCGTACATTGCTTGCAGCAGCTCCTTCACATTGATGGCTGTCGTGTCCGTATTGAGAACGAATCTGCGGACAAGGAAACGATTTTTGTTTGGAAATAGGGGTTATTAAGTTGGTTATTAGATTAAGGTACAAAAAAAGAATGCATAAATATTTGGGTTTTAAAAAAGTGACTGGTAAGTCAAGGAGAACACCATCGGAACTTTTATATCAAGACAAAAACTGTGGCATTACATATCGCGTTTATAATTAAACTATAGTTGATTAATTAAACCACACATCTTCGGCGTTTTTTAAAGACTGACTATAAATGATATTGGAGTTTAAACGCAACATTTAAAAATTTCTGATGTGTCATTGTATATACAACTAATTAACATTATATTTAAAACCTGAACTTATGTATATGGGTTACAGAGATTAAAGACATTGAATTAAAAGGAATGTTGATTAAGAATTAAAATTCTTGAAAGGTTAATGCATTTCGGTTTGTTCAGAAACAGTAAAATGTATATATGTATTAATCTTAATACCAATTGCTATTATTATTTTCATCTATTCTTAGCAAACGTGTTCAACTTGGCTTAGTAAGGATTAACATGTTTGGCGAGAATAGATACATATAAATAATGTTATTATTGCTATAGAAACTTGTTAAGATTGAATAGATATATACATTTGGGAAAGTACTGACTCCAACATAACATTTAAGTTACAATTTAAGTTTTTTTTTTTAACAAACTCACTTTAACCCCGAGGGAGTTTCCAGATAATGGAGGGCGTAGCGATTGGTCTTATAGTAGAGGAATCCTTCCCGGGGATCATGTGGCGATATTTTGCTCACAAAGGACTTGATCGAGAAGAGCATGCCGTAGGTGAGTTTGGCTTCCTAGGAATAAACAATATTTAGTGGATATTAATTGTGTATTTCTTAATTAATACTCACCTCTTCTCGGGTGATTCCCGATTTCTTGGTGCGATTCCATTCTGCGTAGTGAAGTAGCGTGCCAAACTTGTCGAATATGTACAGATTAAAGATGGTCATCTTGTTTAAGCTAATCGGAATGGCATTAGCCTTTAATGGTGGGCTTTATTTCGAATTTATGGAATGCAATTCACTTTAATTTCCGATGCAAAACAAAAACATTCAAAGGGGCTGCCAACTTTCTCCATTTTGGGACTAGACAACACAAGAACAGCTGTTTAAAGGCGTTAGGTGATTTTTTGAAAATGTGCTGCCCATCAAGCAGTTATTTCTCGATTATGAAGTTAAATTTAATTTTTGAAAGTATAGCTTTAATTAAATTCACTAAATAACAAAATATATTGAGTAAACAAGATTTTATCTTCAAACATTTATTGGTGATAAGATTTCTTCGTTTGTAAATATAAAAATTTATTATTACAAAAAGTATTATAAAATAATTTTTCTTTTGTGTTATTTATTTGGCTTAGAAAAAACAGAAATTTTGATACACATTTAAAACGGGCTCAGTTATTTTCCTTCTTTTATTCCTCACTTATTTTGTTTTTGGATTTCTTTTTCTTTTCTTTGTCCGCTGGCTCGGGCATCTCCACCACAAATGGATACTCCTTTAAATTGAAACTGTTAACTTCTTCACGGCTGGATCCTTGGTCCTGCGTTTCATTTGGTACTCCTTCCTTTTCTAGAGTTGTTTCTGGGGCTTTTTTGGCCGTTGTTTTTGCTGCATTTTTACTTGGCCTTTCATCGGAGTCATCGCAACTGTCAATCGTCTTGGGGTATTCGTCAAATTGGATAGTTCTTATCGATTCACTACTGGTTAGGGAGGAGCTTTTGGAAAAAGTATTTTTTTAGGGGGGATCTGAAGAGAGATCTCAAGCTTTTACTTTTCGGCTCCACTGTCAAGTGCGTACTTTTTTCTTATACTGTTTCTGTCCATTCTAAAATATCGGATTAGCCATGCGATGGGATCTATGTGGATGACCGGCATCCTTGTTGGGATTGCCTATATTAAATTAAATATTTATCAGTTTGAGTGATAAATCTCGCATCTGTACTCACTTGATTTGGTGTTCCTATGGCGATGTCCTGCAATGAAGTTATCCTGTTTGGTGAGTTGAGCTCCTTCGGAGGTAGGAACACGTAAGCTCTGATGAAAACCAGCTGGACCACTGGCCTGCAAATGGCGGGCCTGGTACTCCCGGTTCTCAATCTTCAAGCGTTCGTATTGATCCTCCGGAAATTGACGCCTAGTCACTCCAGGAGGCACATTGTTGCTCCGCCGCTGCTTTGATGGCTCCTCCGGACGACGTCCTTGGGCCGGATGTGATTTCTCCGAAGCTCGACGACCCCTAGACTCGACACCACCTCCTCCATCTCTATGACCTTGGGAATGGCGACGGGAGTCATCAACACGCCGTGGATGAGAACTTCTTCGGGTTTCTTTAGCTTCCCCACTCGTTATATTTTGCAATCTTCGAGACCCATTGCTACTGCTGGTGATTCTTTGAGCTCGTCGGGATTCCGTCGTTTGACCACTGGTAAGCCATCGTGATTCATTGGTACCGCTAGTTATTTTTGGAACCTTGCGGGAATCTACTATCTCCTTACTGGTTAATCTGTGCAGCTTCCTGGATTCGTTGGCACCACTAGTTCCCTTCGGGGTTCTCCTTGATTCTCCACTTGTGATATTGGGCAGTCGTTTCAGTTGCTCGCTGGTCACTGCGGGAAGTCTTCTGGCGTCCACCACTCCACTGGTGATGTTTGGGATTCGCAGGACATTCGACATCCGCTTGGACTCACCACCTCCACCACTTCCGCTGGCCCCATGGGAAGTTCTTTTCGAGGAGTGGTGCTCCCTTTCCGGTTCCGGATTAACAGATCGCCAGTTAGGACGCTCGTAGCGATGTTTTCCTGGGTCTTGCGATTCCCGATTAGAATAGTGACCTAGTCCACGAGATCCTCGTCTGTTTTCCTCTTCTCTCCGTTGGTGGTCTGTTTGCAGGCTGGTTGTCCTCAAGTTCTTATTTGGTAACATAGGCAGTAGCATAGGCATTTTGAGAGAATTTGGCGGGTTTATCATGCCAGTGGTGTAATGTTGGATTTTTGGACTAATTAAGTACTCTCCTGGTGAGATAATATATTTTATTTCAGACTTGTTATAATAGATTATAAGCTATACTTACCAGGAGTCTCCTCAGTGTCCGAAACAAAAGGCGGCAAGTTGGCAGATGTTCGTACATTCCGGAACATTTTAATTCCTCTGTGACCAAATTTACTGATTTCCGGGAAGAAGGTTTCCCACTGTGGGTTTTATTTTAGTTAAACGGCTTTTAAAAAGCTTGACCACTTCTTACCAAGTAGAATATCCCATAGGCCAGGAGAATGGCCAGCAGCAGGACCACCGTGAACTTGGTGAACTGTATCAGGACGAACAGGACCACGCCTGCGATCACCTCAGTGTGCGCCACTCCGAGGAACTCGAGGCATTGACGGATCTCGCAGATCCTCATGGTGACCAGGTATCCCACGACGGAGTTCAGGGAGTCGCAGGCGCATCTGATGGCGTCCGCCATGGTTCAAGTAGAGGAGTATGTTCGGGTTCCAGTGAAGGCATTTCTCCCCAGCACAGGGTTTTGAAAGGATGAAATGTGGCAAACCTTTACTGCCAAAGCAAAGGCAATGGGATTTGGTTTTGCCTAAAAAAAAATTAAACGAAACCTCTACGGATCTCCCAAATTGAATATGCGATGGTGGTTTTTGTCTTGGTACCATTGATTATTTTATAATTTTAACTTTTTTGTAGTTTTATTGTTTTATATATTTTCTTACTTATACATTTTTAAGAGACGCAAACATTTTGAATTTTCCCGCCTTTGAAGAAATAAAATTGGTATTTTTGAAAGAAAGGCAGTATAATTTAGTATTTTAAGTAATTAAGTGGTCACACTATTAAACAGCTGATTTCTCAGCCGTGCAAACCTTGTTTTTATATTTGCAAGGCGAATTTGTTATCAGTAAAGTTATCCACTATAATTACTGGATATCTGGTGCTATATATAAAGCGAATATATCATTAAACCCTTTGCAGTTAAATGCTAAGACGCACAATGGCGGAGTTTGACGTGAAAGCCGGCCTGCAGCACGTGTTGAAGCGGATTGATGAGGTGCTCCTGCAGCGTCCCAAGGTGAGATTTCCTTCATTTCCCCACAATTATGATCTTCTTTAGTAAAATCTTTATCTTTCCCACAGGAAGTGCAAACTGGAAAGCCCCTCCTCGTGGCAGTCAGCAAAACCAAGCCAGCGGAGGCCGTAATCGAGGCCTACGAAGCTGGACAAAGAGACTTCGGCGAGAACTACGTGCAGGAACTGGAGGAGAAGAGCCGCCATCCGGACATCTTGGCCAAGTGCCCCGACATCAGGTGGCACTTCATAGGTCACATGCAAAGCAACAAGATTAACAAGGTCAGCTTCGCTTCGATTGGCGATCTATAGCTCCAGTCAAATGCGACCTATTGAGGTTTTTAAAGAATTCATCTTATCTGAAGGTTAAGCAGGAATCTCCAAAGATTTTGTCATTAGTTTATATGAGAAATGCAATCTACAGCGTTTTTCCGTTCTATTTCCGACTGAGATAATGCTTTTCCTACATTTTTTTCAAAACAAACTTTTTAATGTCTTCTAAATTGGTTCCTGCCTAAACTCTTCCTTTAGGTTTTGTCGGTGCCAAACCTGAGTATGATCCAAACCGTCGACAGCGAGAAACTGGCTACCAAGTTGGATGCAGCCTGGTCCAAAAGACAACCAGCTCCTGAGCAGCAGCTGCAGGTGCTCATCCAGATCAACACCAGTGGCGAGGATGGTGAGTTCGGAGCTTATAAATCAACCGACTGTATACTTACTTCCTCTTCTTCGAATTCCTCTAGTCAAGAGCGGAATTGAAGCCAAAGATGCCCCGGCACTTTACCAGTTCATCAGGAGCAACCTGAAACACCTTAACCTGAGGGGCATAATGACCATTGGCGCTTTTGGCTTTGACTACAGCAATGGACCCAATCCGGATTTCGTATCGCTCATGCAGGTGCACCGATCCATCTGTGAGGCGCACTCCTTGGACTCAGATTCGGTGCTCGTTTCCATGGGAATGTCCAACGACTTTGACAAGGCGGTAAGTCAGAAGCTGACTGCCCAAGATCTCTCGCTATAATACGAACTATTCCTTTAGATTGAAATGGGCAGCACAGTGGTTCGCGTTGGCTCTTCTATTTTCGGCCATCGGGCGGCCAAGGCGTGAGGGGAGGTCCGCAGATGTGCTAGGAATGCGTTGCGGGCACTGAATACAGTTGATTCCCAATGACGTCCGACCTCCAAGTTTGCCCATGTATCAGGTGGAATTGTGTACACGCACACAGACTAACCTAGTAAATTGTTAAAGATGATTTGGCGTTTAAATTTAGAAAACCATGAGATAAACAAATGTTATGTGTAGGCTGTTATATCCCATATTTGATTGTTAACCTCTCCATAAACAATGCTTCCAAAGTGTCAAAACCATTAATATTCCTAGATACTTTGCGCTCCTTGAAAAATGGAATACATTTGCCGCAGTTTTCATTAATTTTGACATTCCTTTGACTGTTTCCCTCTCTTTTTTTTGCACTTAGTTCTATTTATATTTTTGCCTACATTCAATGCTACTTTGCGTATTATATTGTGGGCAGCTTTCCGTCTGTTTCTTTTTTTTTTTGCTTGGCCAGAGGCCAAATGTCGCCTGGTTACGTGCCAATATTGCAGCGCCAAAAGAGTTTTCGCCGAAAATCACTTTCAATGGAGCACGAAGAAGACTGCAGTCGCAATCGATTTTCATTATGTCTGATCGATGAATTATGAAGGCTTTCTCACGCGGATCCTATCATTTATTGAGATATTTTCTGTTTGATTATTCATGCATCAAACCTTCATCAATTATTACATTAGCAAAGGGGGGTATGAATTAAGATGACCACTCAACTGGGATAAATGACGTCAGATTTGTCTAGGAAAGTTTTGTTTAATATAATCATTGAACTTTTTATTTAGGGGAAGGCAAATAACCTTTAAGAAAAAGCATCCGTTTTCATACAGTAACAATATATATTTGGATAATTCCCACCACCTTTTAAATTATTATGTCAAAGAATATGTATTTCTTAAAATGATTGTGTATGGATAATATTTCGTAACAGTTAATAATAGAATTTAATTGCTTGTTACAAATGATCAACACTAAGAGGATTAAACTTGTTGATTGCTATAAAAATTGAAATTATATTTTTTGTGTTGCATACAATTCCTTATTGCAGTCCGCAATCAATAAATATAATGGACTATCTTAATATTTTGTATATAAGTATGTTCTTTTGTTCTTTATGCAATTCCTTGTTAGAATTTTAGTCATTCGAATAGATATTATAAAATATTTTGTTTACTATATATCGTAACAAGGTTAATGTATCATGACGTGGTACAACAAAGTTTTTAGATTTCAATTAAAAAAGGAATAACAAAATTGTCAGAAACGTTATGCAATGCCTATGGAGCACTAGCATATAGAAAAAATCAGATGTTTATTTCACATTTGTTGCCGAAATAACTCTGGTCAAATATCGGGTTCGTTGAATATTTATGCGACACGAAATCCGTCCGATCTTTGTGTGTATACAGATCTATAGATTTGGAATTCTCGGCGCTCTTCATATTGCACAATGTACGGGGATTTCGAAAACAGAAAAAGAAACGTAAAATAGGCAAGGCAAAACATCGAGTATATAGGCATGAATAGACATTTGTTATATGTGGGATATGTATGTGCTGCTGCCAAGGGAAATGTAGGTGATTTCAGCGCAAGAGGACACCTTTGGGAGGGTGGCCTCTAGAAAAGAGATGGGCCGAGCAGCATAGCAAAATAAAAGAAAACAAAACAAAATCTGAGCATGGGGAAATGTATCCACAACAGAGAGACGAACCGATCCGAACCGAGCCGCACCGAAATAAATTCCGAACATATGTATAGGCTTCTGCGCCAAAAGCCAAAGCCAAAAGCATTTTCTCTGCCTTTAAAATTAGATTTTTGATTAGAGCAGAAGCCGATGAGTAAACAACTCGGATACAGCTATACCATAGGCTATAGGCTATACCCCATGGCTATGGCTATAGCTATAGCTATATAGATATAGCCGCCAGCACCCCACCGATCGCCTGGGCGGACCTCGCCTTGCAGATACTAAAAAAGGCAGCACGAATATTGCATATACAGATACAGATACAGATACAGCGAATGGCAGCCGACGAGTCCCGAAGATTGCCGAATCCCCGACGAAATGGCCCACTGGGTGGATGAAGAAGAGCTCCTCCGAACTCTTAAAACATCATTGTCTTGGCGATAAAATCAGCCAGAGATTCAGTGTGCTCTGACGGCTCGACTCGATTAGACAACACATCAAAGTTCAGCACCATGGTAAGGATACGTCCCGGAATATCAAAAACCGAATTGAACTGAACACCGAACCGAACTGGACCTTCAGTGCCTGGATATATGCAGCAAGGATAATGACCGATCAGTGCAGTGAATCATTTGCATTCGACAATTCAAAGAATTTGAAGATTTGAATATGAAGTGAACATAACTCCATGGTGACCCCAATTCACCTTTATCGTAGTGAGAATAGTGCAGAACATTCGAATTCTATAAATGGATCGATCCAAGTGTTACGCGTCAGTAACGTAATCCGATATCCGTTTCGGGGAGCGAGCGAGATGGCAAGTGGCGCACGGCGGAAAGCTTACGTAACATGCGTCCGGGCTATTTATAGCCAAGTGGAAAACTTTTCGCCCCAGATACATATTTTCGGGCCAATTTGAGAAAAAACATCCCAACCTTTTCAATGGAACACTTTCACATGGATTACTTTCAATTTCAACTGAGGACTTTTAAAATAAGTAATTTTAAAGGATCCTAGAAAAGATCAATGGATTATAGGCCCTTAAAAAGAATGACTACTTAATTTAAACCTGTCAAACTTTCTTATAGTTAACTAGTTAGTAGACCATCTGACAGATTACTGACTTGGTAAACCCTTAAAAACCCGAACTCCCACTAATCAAATACCCATTTTTGTACCCCCAGGCCGATGAGAAGAAGAAGGTTAAGAAGAAGAAGACCAAGGAAGAGGGTGGTACTTCCGAAACCGCTTCTGAGGCCGCATCCGAGGCAGCAACCCCGGCACCAGCCGCAACTCCTGCCCCGGCCGCATCCGCCACTGGTTCGAAGAGAGCGTCGGGCGGATCCCGCGGCTCCAGGAAGTCGAAGCGCGCTGGCTCCTCGGTCTTCTCTGTGTTCTCCCAGAAGCAGATCGCCGAGTTCAAGGAGGTGAGTTTCGATCAACCCACATCTATCATAGTGAAGCACTTCCAAGCCCATCCAATCATCCCACATCGATCATCTATCGCACTTGTCAAGGACCAAGTCACCAACCCGATCTTTCTTTCTATCTCTCTGTCTCTCTGTGCGGAATCAATTAGGCCTTCCAACTAATGGATGCCGACAAGGACGGTATTATTGGCAAGAACGATCTGCGCGCTGCCTTCGACTCCGTCGGCAAGATCGCCAACGACAAGGAGTTGGACGCCATGCTGGGCGAGGCCTCGGGTCCGATCAACTTCACCCAGTTGCTGACCCTGTTCGCCAACCGCATGGCCACCTCCGGTGCCAACGATGAAGACGAAGTTGTTATTGCTGCCTTCAAAACATTCGATAACGATGGTCTCATCGACGGTGACAAATTCCGCGAAATGCTCATGAACTTCGGTGACAAGTTCACCATGAAGGAGGTCGATGATGCCTACGATCAGATGGTGATCGACGACAAGAACCAGATCGATACCGCCGCCCTGATCGAGATGCTCACCGGCAAGGGTGAAGAGGAGGAGGAGGAGGCCGCCTAAGGCAACCGAGATCACATCCTAACTTCTAACTCAGCATCCATATTACAGCCAGAATCAGAACGTTAAATCAATCAGTCAAATCAGTAATAATAAACGTAATTAAAAGAAACGCTCGTTTACATATGTAGATTCTCAGTATCTTGTACTATAATCTCTTTTTGTTAACCACCACCACCACCACCACCAAGAACAACCAACACCACCAATAAGATCAGCAACATCCGATCCGATCACAACTGAAACTGAACTTCTTCAGCAACAAATTGGTAGCGTTCAGAACCATTTACCATGTATCTGTCCATCATAGTTAGGGATACTTACGATCACGTTCACTGTCACGGCAAGAACTGACGCGTTAGTTTTCTAGTTGATTTACTGTTAAATTTTACACGTAAAATTTATAAAACAAATGCTATCTATTTTATTTAAAACACCTATAAAATCAACAAAAAAAAACTTTAAAACAACAACCAAGCCGTGTCTATTTTAATCGCTGTCCGTTGAAGAACACCAAAGAGAGAGATGAATACCAGATCTAGAACGAAATCGCAATGATAATGAGAATGTGATGATGTAGGGAGGACGAAAACGAAGATGATGATGAAGATGAAGATGATGTTGTTGGGTAAACAGGCTGGATTTGTTAGGCCTGCACCCATGAGTTGAATTTGAATTTGAATATGAATATGAATTTTTAAACGAGTTTTGTGAGTTTTGATGTTCTATTTTCGTTCGTTAAATCTCGCAGGACCTGGAGAGAGAGAGGCAAACCTATAGCAAACTATTGTTAAGGACATTTAACTGAGAGCCAATTATTTATATCCTTCTATATACACAATATTTATCGTTATGCATATCTATCGTTCGTTACTCAATTTCAATTTCAATATTAATTATGATTATCAGTTATGAGTTATCAATATTATTGCAAGTTATCGAGAGTTAGGCTAATAACAGAGAAACATTAAGTTCATTCACTCAAATTGTTTAATGCGAATTTACATAACTTAATCACCACCACCACAACCACAACCACAACCACAACTTTCTGCTTATGAACTATCAGCGTTATAAACCACCCAAAACAAACAGAACAACAACCCAATATGATATCTGAAATATGAAGAAACGATCAAACAACCAACCCAGTGTTTCTAGTTAATGCGTTTCGAAACTTCGAGGAGGATCCTCTTTTCCCCCCGGGGTGATATTTGGTGATGGGGGGGTGGATGATTTTAGTTTGATTAAGGTACCCAGAACCACTAGTACCCAGGCTGATCGGAAAAAGCCACACATTATATACTATGTACTTACACTAACTACTCAACACGAGCACACACCATACACCATACACCATACACACCAATTCATTTCAAAATGCAACATGCCACAAGTTGTTAAATGCGAATCGAATCTTTACTTCAGTATAAATTAAGCTATACACGGCAAGATGAAAAAATTCTAAAAAGTTTTTAACCCGGTCAGAAATATTAACAAAAAAAAAAAAAGAAAGAAACTGTTAAAAAAAGAATAGAAAACAAGTAACTGTTTTTATACAACATACCTAGATGATGATACGATGACGAAGTCTTGGAATAAAGCATAAGCGAGTCGTCTTGAAAAAACAACAACTAAGCAATTGCAGTTTGACTTTCTCAGGGAAGGGGTTTGAAGTTTGGAGCTTGGGCTATTGTACATACATACATACATACATACATATATGTGACTCAGCTGAGCCGTGCCGGAAACCAGTTACAGGTCAAAACAAAACCACCGATAAAGCTGGGGAGCCAACAAAGCGGAGCGCAGTGGCAAACTCCCCACACTTGGCCAAGTCGATGGCCAAAGCCGAAACCTTCGTGCGACCAGTTTCCAGTCGAGTTTCGAGGCGCACGCATGCGCACTACGATGTGAAAGTCAGCCACGATTGCCACATCCGATTGAAAATTACTTTTGCAAGTAATCTGGTTATTGCGGAAGGGAAAACCAGAACTATGGATCAAGCGGGACACATTTTGTGGTTCACGGCGGCCTGTTGGATTGCATCATCTATAAGTGCCGGTAAGTGCTGGGAATCGATTGTATTGTATGCTAATCTTGCGTGCCTGAAGAAATCGAAAGTATCTCAGGCTGTGTCTGCCACATCTCACCACACTCTCGAGTGCACAAAGAAAAATAAAAATTATGTTTATTTTTTGAAAATGTCTAAACTATACAAATATAAGCTTGTTATTATTCGAAATATAAAAAGATCAGAATTCTTTTGATCATAGTATCAATAACAATGTTTTTATTTGATGCAGTTATTCAGCTTTAATAAGGATATCTAAAATTATCTTATCTGCATAAATCAATATTGTTTCTCTTTGTGTACCTTTGTGATAACTCACCACACTCTCGACCAAACACTCTCACTCTCATTTTTGTGTCTCTCAGCTGATGCACAGCATCTGATCGCGTATATCTCGCAAAGTGGTCTGCATGGAGAGATTACTTTTCGGCAAGTGAATGCTACCACGGTGGAAATCAAGGCTAATCTGGAGGCCACGCTGCAGTATCCCGATCAAGTGTGGAGTTGGGGAGTGCGCCGATTCCCAGTGGATTACACAAATATCGATCCCCAAGATCGTTGCGAACTGAGTCGGCTGGGCTCCCAGGTTGTAAGCTTCGATGAGGATCTGGAGTATCTGGTGCTCCCCGGAAATGAAACGTCCACGTGGGAGCGCAATATGCAGCTGATTGGAGATCGTGGAATATGGGGCAAGTCCTTAGTGCTGACGGAGATTAACTCAAATGCGCGGATTTGCGCCACCATAACCACCATTCAAAGTTCCGTAGAGCATATGGCGGAGGCGCGTTTCAACACACCCATTGCCGGATCCGTTCACTTCCGTTGGTTGGCTCCGGCAGAGGGAGCTGTTGGGGATACGTTAATTTACTCCGATCTGTACCACATTAGGGAGCAACCACCGGCTTTGGGGGACGATAAAAGTAAAGCGGCATCTTTTACCCAGCATCACTGGAAGATCTATGTGACTGATATCTTTAAGCATGATCACCATCGCACCGAGGATAACTGCAACTTTCTGCAGCTGGTTTTTGATCCTCAAGGTGGTGGAGCAGGAAATGGAATTGGTGATCTAGATGCTCGTCTTGGAAGGATTGGGGTGGCCAAGAATGCTCTTCGTTCGCCCCAGCGCAGTGTTTTTAGAGATGCTCAGCTGGCTCTGTTGCCCTCGGATCTCACTATTCCGCACAGGACCCTCTACCTGGTGCTTTTCGATAACCAGCATCCGGATTCTTACCTGGCATGCACTAAGATTCGTCATGTCCAACCGCTGACCTACAAGTGAGTGGGGCTTTACTTTCCATGCCTTTCATACAAATCTTATATTAATTTTAACCGCAGAACTTTCATCAACTCCGGGGGAGTCAAGGGAGAAGTAACCTTCATGCAGCGCTCCAAATTCGACCCAACTTTCCTCAATTTCACCTTGGGTGCACCGCTTTCTCAGCATGTGAGTCGCAAGTTTGCCGAAGACGTGGCCGCCTTTCGGATTCACAGTCTGCCGCCAGTACCACAAAGGATGGGTCACGAGGACTATTGTTTCACCACTGGGGAGATGCACAATCCTCGTGAGATAAGCGACAATATTCCGCCTCCCGGTTATGGAACCCAGGAGCAGTATCCCTTGGGCGATCTCTCTGGAAAACTGCAGGGACGCAATAAGGATTACTGGCATCAGTATGTCCTTCCTGGAACGAGTTCGGAGTTGAATGGCCTCTACTGGGATGTCTTCCTGCCACTTCAAGGACGTCATAGCATATATCAGAGGAGTCTGGTCATATACACCTTCAACAGAACTGATGTCTCTAACATTACGAAGAATATATGGGGCTGTTCCAGCCTGGGGCAATATCAGAAAAATGGCATCTATCAGCAGAATATGGTTACGGCTCAGGTTAGTTAATAATATTATTACATTATTTTATTAATCCAATTATTTTGTAATTTTTATATTCAGGTTCTTTTCCGCTATCCGGTGGTGGGTCGTGTGATCTTCCGACAGCCGGCGGAGCAGCCTTGGCAGGACACCTCTGTGTTGTTTGAGTACCTTATCCAAGCGGATGGTTCCACCCAGAATACCACGTATGAGCACCGCTGGGCCATACACAGCAATGCGCCTGGAAAGGACTTTTACGATTGGCAGCAGCGTTGCATTTCCGCAGGACCAGTCTATAATCCCTACCGAGTGGATTGGGGCAATCGTAGTGTGGATGACTTCTGCCAACCCAATTTACCCTCCATGTGCCGAATGGGAGCCATGGATGCGAGATCGGGCAGACTCACCATCGCTGGGGGCAGAAGGGTTGCCCAGAAAATCAGCAGGAGGATGTTTGTAGACGGTAATCTACCACTATCTGGTCGGCATGGCATCCTGGGGAAATCCCTAGTGATATATGAGGATAGTGGTCCGAAAGCCAGGGGCGAACGATTGGCCTGCTCCGCGGTCATCGGACATTTCCGCCGGAAAGTGGTGGCCAAGGAGTGGTATGCCAACGGAGATCCTTTAACTGTGAGTGGTCGAGTGGAAATCACCCAGCAATCGGAGTACGATATCACCAATGTGGAGGTGCAACTTAAGGGACTGCAGGACAACACAGGCTATCATATTCACAGGGTAAATTTATATATTTAAATACATTATTATACTTCTTTTATATTCCTTAATTTATTACTTATTTCAGACCCCTGTGGAAGCCAATCTGGCTTTTCCCTGCGAGGCCTCCACTTTGTATGGCCACTGGAATCCTTTCGATGTCAGTCCAAAGTCATCACCACCTCCTAGAAGGGGCACCACCGACCAGTACGAGATGGGAGATTTAAGTGGAAAATTTGGAGGCCTTGAAGGGGTCACTCAGTTCGAGGATGCCTACAACGATACGAATCTTCCGCTCTTTGGCTACAACAGCATTATTGGTCGATCTGTGGTTATCCAGAAGAAACAAAAGAACGCGAGATGGGCCTGCAGGTAAAAAACCGTCTTCTTCTCAAAATAATCACTCATTTTAATTAAAAACTTTAGTACCCTAGAGCGTGGCTATAGTCCCAGTGAGGCCAGGGAGCTCAGAGCCATTGCCTCTTTCCATCATCCTACGGGCTATGCCTATGGTTACATTAAGATGACGCAGCTGATCCACAATGATGGCAGCCAATCGGAGACGGTGATCGAGGTAAAACTACGGCATCCGGGAAAAAACGATAGGAACTCTACGAGGGACCACAATTGGCAGATCTTCGTCAATCCCGTGGGCGTGGATGCAGCCGTAAAGCCCACAATCACACGTTGTGTGGCTGGCGGATACGTCTGGAATCCGTACTACACACAGCTGGCAGATCCTCTTAATGTGAGTTAGCCCATGATGGTTAAAGATCGTACATAATTTAACTATCTGTTAATTTCTTTAGCTGGATCTGTATGAGCAGGAGTGCAGTCCAGATAATCCTTTGCGCTGCTACGTGGGCGATGTGGGCGCTCGTTTGGGCACTATAGGTAAGTTAGGGTTTATTTTATTTAAATAAATACCCCCTACTAATATATGTCTACCCAGACCTCGGAGGGCAACGCGTAGTCCTAACCGACTCCAACTTTCCCTTGGAAGCTCCTGTAGGAGCCATTGGACGATCCATTGTCATATTTGGACCCGATCACTCCCACGAGCGCTTTGCCTGTGCAAATATAGAACCCGATCACAATGTAATTAAGTACATTAACCTGCAAAAACCACCCCGCTTCGTGGTGTAAGTACTATACATAAATATTGATCATCAATGTACCTTGACTAAACCTAAATCAACAAAATTAGTGCCCAGTTTCTGGAGGAATTGCGATCCGTTATGGGAATCCCAGAGTGGATGTTGGATGTAGACGCCCGTAAGACCAAGGAACTGCATGGCGGCGCCTGCATCCAGATGATTATCCATTTCAAGGGACCACTGGCCCATCGCCTGGAGTTGGATATGTCCCGATTGATAGCCGCTGGGAGATTGGATGCCCCCAGTCTATTTATTCCAGGTTATGTGAACCAAAAGCGAAAGGCCACCATTTCATATCGCACCTGTGGAGTTAGGGATACCAATGAGAAGCGTAAGCAGTCCTGATTTAAAGTTAAGAATTAATCTGTTGTAACTTATCTGTCCAACAGGTACCAAAAACATCAGGGGTGGTTTTTATTCCACAAGCTCAGCTCCAACCGAACCAAAGCCTTTCATTTTATCTTTCGTAGTCATCGGCTTAGCCCTTAGGTTCCTATAAATTGTAAATATAATATAGTGTTTTATTGAAAAATCTGTTTGTATATTTTTGTTCTAAAAAACTTATATCGATTTTAAATGGTTTTAGTCACTAGCTTAGCATCTAGATGTTTGTAAAATTGAGGGCTTAAGCTCAATGAACATTAATTTAATAATTCATGTAAATATTCCATTAAAAATTGTCTATAATCTGTACAGTAATTATTATTGCAATATTTTTAATTAAATTATATTCCTGGCTCCCAAATACCTATACATGTGTTTTCCTAAAAGTGTTTAAACTAAAGATACGTTAGAGAAACACGTAGTTTCAAACATGGTGGTGGATTTACTATAACTCAGAGGAACTGACCTATTATATGGGAGCATATTCTACCACACATCGAGACCCACCACTTTTGTTTTATTTCTGCGCATGAGTCTTGACGAATCGATTTTTCACTACATACATACATCCCTCATTCAATCGAGGGCAGCAGTCTTTGGTGTTAGAGACCCCAGTGAAGACGCACATTTAAATCCAACTCCAGAATGCAGCTGATTCTCGTTGCGACCTTGTTGGGCCTGGCATTTGGCAGCTGCACTGCCTCCATAAGTGGACCGTTTATCTTCTGGGGACACTCCAGGGTATCTGGTCTCCAATCGCAGGCCTTGTTGGATTCGCAAAGCAGGGAACTCCCGCTGACGCAACTCTTCACGGAGGCCAAGGCCATTGTGGTCTTTGTGCGGAACTCAACCGGTCGACTGGAGGGCACCAAGTATCCCCTGTTCCAAAATCTCGTCAAGAGTGCAGCCTGGACGTATCTGCCGCAAAGGAGTCTCGCAGCGGAGCCCTTCGGTCTTAATGCCAACATTGAGGTGAGTTACGAGCTATAAATAGGAAATAATGGCTGTGGATTTGAGGGCAATCTAAATTTTGGAGAGATCTTATCATTATAAGTAAATAAAATGCTTTGAAATGGTCTGAGAAAGACAAAATTATTATAATCCAAATATTAATACAGAAAAAAGCATGAGGTATTTTTAGCAATAATAATGGAAATATATATTCAAACATACTCTGTGAAAGATATATTCTTTTGATCTTTTTATCGAGCATATATATTAATCCGCTTTGTTTTTTTTAGGTGGTGAGCCTTTCGGGACACGGGGAAGAGGATGACGCAGAGATCCTGACGGCCTACAACGAAGCCTTGAACAACTACGGCCGTGGCGAGGTACTGGGCATCCTGGCCAGCCGCGAGGAGGAGGCCCACTTCCTGGCCAAGCGAGAGGCTTCTCCGGAGGAGGAGGAGAAGGCCAAGGCAGCCGAGGGTCCGGAGGAGACCGAGGCCAGTTTCATCTACGTGGCCGAGGGCAACAAGGCGGTGCTGAGTCTCAATGGACCCCTGGAACTCCGGCTGACCAACGACACCCTGAAGCTGGAGGAGCACATCAAGCAGATCACCTTCGACGATCAGCGAACGAAGGGCTATGGCCGACTGAGCATCACCTTTATGCCTTCGGGGGAGAAGTGCACGCTGCGTTTTAAGTTCACCCTCATCCAGGGATCCTGGACGTTGCGCAATGTGGAGGTGGAGTACCGCGATCTGAAGAGTGTGCTGGTCGCCCGGGGTGATGAGTACACCCTGCCCTCGGCTCCACTGGGATTCTCGTACCGCTGCTCGGCGGAGAATGTAAATTTCCTGAATCCCGCCCGGAATGAGACGATCCAAAGTCTGCTCCTGAGTGATTTCCAGGTGCAGCCGTGGCTCAATGGCCGTCAGGAGTATGGCGAGGTCTACGACTGCGTGGGCTTCGTTACGGCCCCAATCCTGGCTGGTCTTTTCGTGGTGACCCTGCTCCTGGGCATCCTGGGCCTGGGAATCTCCGCCATGCTCAGCATGCACACGCCCAATCGATTCGAGAGTTCGCGCAGCAAGCAGTTGACCTTCACCATACAGGAGTAGATCATCCATTGAGAATCTAATCTCTAATGAGGAAACAGTTCCGGGGGAGCCATGTTTATCCAGATCACCTATGTGGCTTTCAAGCCACTGGCCTTGTTCACCCTGGCCATCGAGCTCTTCCTCATCCATCTGCTATTCGTGCTGATTGTGCTTTACGTGTATGTGCTATGGTATTACTGACATAAAGTCCCAAATCGATATGAACAATTTGAAATATATATCTGCAAAATATAAACAAAGCCAGTGAAGTTTATCTAAAAGTGGTTAAAATAACGTGTTATAAAAAACATTAAACTTATCTACCATATACTTTGAAAACACATAATTCTGTTTAAATAATAATCAAATAAATTACATATTTAATGGCCCAAAATCTTGTTAGAAACAACATATAAAAATCGAAATCAAACTCCTAAATAACTAATAAAATAACAAACTAATAAATAACAAATAGTTTAGTAATGAGAAATAGTATTGATAACAAATTTTTATTTATTGGGCTTTCAAAATCTTTCCATAAATATGTCGGTTACTTACAAGCGCGTAAGCCTCTCTCTTTGATCTCGACACAAAGTTCAATCCAGAGGAAAAAGTGAAAAGCGTTGAAATTCTGCACAGACTGCCAAAAAAGGATGCGAGGAGTCCGGCTGGAAATTCTGGTTATCTTGGCGGCGGCTCACTTTTGTTTTTACCCATTTCTCTCCCCGGCGATCAGCAGCTCACTTTCATTGGTCCCCCAGCGGCAGTGTGCGCAATTAAGCCTAACTCAACGATAGAGATGCGTGCGGGAGCTGCATTTGCACACTGAAAAAAAATCAGGCAATATAAATAAGTTATTTGGTTGGCGTTTGTATTTAATAAAATATCACAATGGTTATCTAGTGGGAAAAATGATAAAATAAAATGATCAAACTCTCTTAATTACTGTAAAGAAAATCGTCATGAAATAGTTTCGGCATTTGTTGTCACCGCTTTAAATTTGTTTTCAAAAAATACAATTTAATCTATTTTATCTAGTATTTAAACTTTCCTCATAAGTATGTCAGCAGAAAAAATAAATTAGAACTGCGACTTAAAATTTTTCACACTGTGCACAGGTGTTCTCTTATTTAGAGAATTTTCTGAATTTTATTTTTATTTACATTTGACTTTTCACCCGTTTTGGTTTTAAGCTAAAATTAAATGTAACAATTTTTGAGAAACCTATTTCAGGGAGGACAGACTTTAAAATGATATCCCATTTTTCTCAATCTTCTTCTGGGTGTAAAAGTATCTGTATCTTTGGCTGGACCCAGAGCCAAGCCCAGTCTGGCAACTGGAAGCCTCGGTTATTTATGCATCATTAAGTCACGCCAATGGCTCGTTTGGGCCTCTTTGGTTTATTTTGCGTGTGCGTTTGTCCGGCCAGTTTTTTCGGTTCGATTTCTGTTTCTACGACTGACACTCGACACCAGACAGAAGACAGTGGACAGTGGACAGCGGACAGCAGACAGCCGCTGCTGGCTGTGGGCCACCCACTTTTCTCCACAGATTTTCCAAAATATATGTGAGCAGCATCTCCCTTGTCCCCCCTCCCAAAAAAGAAAAGAGAGAGATGAAGATTAAGATCGGGGCGAATTATTGTTGGGTCGGGAAGTGGGTCGCCTTCGATTGCGTTCACTTTTTCCGCGCGGCTTTACTTTTACTGTCAACCAAACGTGCCTCAAGTTGCAAGATGCAAGTGGAAGTGGCCAGTTCAGTGACTTAAAGAGAGAGTGAGAGTCCCGCACCTGATTCTGTAATAAGAATCGCGATCGCGCGACCAGCCTGGCAAAAGTTTGTGAAAGTTGTTGTCAAACGGCTGGCCAGACCAAAGCAAACCAAAACGAGCCAAGCCGAACCGCCTGTCAAGGAGCCGCGCATATCAGCCACATGATGTGCCGCACCACCGAGTGGGTTCACTGAGAAAAACTATTGCGGTTTTTTTTTGTACTCTAAAAGTTTGATATATAAGTATAAAATATTTTTGCAACCTGAAAACAAGAACAAACGTCTTGAAAATCTCATTAAACTATTTTGGCTTTAAAAAAATTGAAAGAGATTTGTAATTGAAAATGCTGTTGTGCTTGCAATGTCCTGAACGTTTTGGAAATACTTTCTTATGAAATAGAGTGGGGTATTTACAGATTTGTAAGATACATTTTCCATGTGATGGAAAATAATCAAGATTATTTCTGTGCAATGCCCCCTTCTCTCCATAGAGGGGCCAATTTCTCCCTCATCGAAGTGATGAGTGCGCTGTCCATTCGGGGTTTAATTGCAAACTGCAACCGCAGCGCAATAGAGGCAAATCTGTGCCCTTTCCTCGAGGGTCTTATATAAGAACTCAATTGCCCCTGATAATGCGCCATGAAATTGAATTATTTTCACGGAAGCTCGAGGTGAGAGATTTGAGCCGCGGATGCACCACAATAGAGTGGCTCTTAGAGGGGGGCTTAATCAATTCAAAGGGCTGCCAGCCAACGGAAATGAGCTTGGTACCTGTATCTTTGTATCTGCGACGATTGCAGTGATGTTTATCAGCGAGATTCGTGCACTTGGTGATGAGGTAATAAAATTCATGAGGATTACCAGTGCATCATGGGATGATCAGTAGTCAGGCCCATGCGATGCAGTGGAATATAGTAGTTTCTCCCCAGATTGACCAACATCTATCTGGTGGTCATGGCTCAGAAATCGGGCCAAGCGATCAATCCTAACGATCAATCCAGTCGCTGAAAGTTGCAGTCATCCCGAGTCACTTAGGAGTTTGCAGTCTGCTGTTTGCAGTTGCAGTTGTCAGTTTCCAAGTGGCTACTTGTGGGTCTCATAATTACTCCGCTCAATATTTGTGTTAAAGTTTTACGATTATTGCCACATTTTTCCAGCGAAAGAGAAATCGCCAATTGGCAGGACTGGCAGATGTCTCTGGCGGGGGAAAATGTCGCGTTTCGAGGCATAAACAGTTGCCTCAGAGACCTGACAAATAACGCAGTGAAAAGTGCGCAGGCGCACTCGAAACGAAATGGAAAAGCGAACAGGTAGGAAAACCGAAAAAAAAAACAAACATCAAATTGGCGACTTTTCGCACATGAACATGAAGTGTGGAGCGTCGAGTAACAACCATTACCATTAACCATTAACCAACCGGCGACAATCCGATGCGTTTAGTAAATCAAACCGTTAATTACTTGATTTGGTAAGCGGTTTCCCAATGCGCCAAAAAGTCTCTGTTTTTTTTCCCCACTTCTGTCCCAATTAACAATTTCTCGTAAATATT